GGGGGGGGGGGGCTCCCTATTGGAATCGTGTAAACTATAGGTTTTCGGAAACGAATTCAGCTCCCCCTCTTTAGGAAAACCAAAAATGGTTACTTCCCCTCCCCCCCCTTGGAAAGCCAAAAAAAGTTATCCCCCCCCATGGAAAGCCCTTAACATTCCTGTATATACCCGGCCCTGAAGTCGGAATTTAAACAAAATCATGAACAAAGATAAATACAAAAAAAATTTCAGATTAAAAAAAAATATAAACAAAAGTGTGAATTTGGTTTGATTAATTGTTCTTTAATTCTGTTGATTTTAAACGAATAACAAATTTGGATGAATGAAAAAAAGTTAATTAAAGACTAAAAATTTAAAACGAAGAAAAATGAATATATTATACCTAAATATAGTTCCCTTTGTTTAGATGATAAAATATGAGCTAAAGTTGGATAGGCTTGAACAAACAACCAACAGGTACTTTTCATCTTTCGACCAGACATTTTTTATTATGTAATGCAAATCATTAAATCTACAAAAAAAAAAAACAGTTTTGGGAACTTAAAACATATATTGAGGAATAGTAAATGCGATATTTGTATTTGCATATACTTTTCTTGTATGTCTGTCACACGACCCCAGCTAGGGAGGTTTCATGGATGCTCAGAATTACAAAAAATTAAATCCAAAAATTTTTGATTTTCGGAAGTTTTTAAAACCACTTAAAATAATTTTTCTAATCCCCTTTTTTGCAACCTGGCGATGTAAACCTTTGATATTTCTTAGATTTTTTGATCCAAAAGAATTCTTCGTTTAAAATATCTAAGGTCTACACCATTGGGCTCCAAAGATATGGGATTAGAAAATCAGCATTTGTGGCAAAGACTCAATTCTTTTTATTTGATAAGATTTGATTTATGAAATGTTTCTGCGTGAATTCGGGTTTGTTAATGTGAATGTCTTTGAACGTTTTTTTTCTACGTCATTAACGAAACGATCAGTTCCTTTTAAAAAAGGGAAAACGATCCAATCCTGCCGGTCCCTCACCTACATATTGTGCTAACGTAAATTATCCTATATTTCAGTATCTGGAGGCTGTATGATATGTTTGAGTACTACCAGGAGAACCAGGACAGGATAGAGTCTCACACTCTCTTAGACTTTGCGGAGACCGTCACCAGTCATGAATCCTTCTCCGTCCGAGCAGAACTATCCCGTCTTCATACTCTTGTAGTTCCTGGAGCATTCAAGGCATGGAATTGTTATATAAGAAAATTAGCAAACTGGCTGTATGAGAACTAGTTACCAGAGGCTGAATTAAATGAATTTGAACCTCGTCGCTGAACCACCGATCGCCGGTTCAAATTGCGCTCTGGCTCAAATCTCGAAACACTAATTAAAATTGTTAGTTGAACCAACTATGTTTAAAATGCGTCGCGTATGTTTAAGCCGCGTCTAGACGTCTAGACGCGGTTCAAGGTTTAAGAAATGGCTTTTCTTAAAGTTTTATACAATCTTTGAATAATACGGAGCAAAAGAACTGTCTTTATTTCCTCTCCTTTTTTATAATAAAATAATAATAATGTATTTCGACATTTTATATTATAAAGATTTTTTTACAATTCGGTCGAGAACTAAGATTTATAATTACTCCATGATACAAGGCTTCTCAGGGGATGCTTCATATACTTGCTAAAGCTATACAGGTATAACAGTGTATTCCTGCTTCTCACTTTTTACGGATAATTGATTTATAAATTAACCCTATTCCGGGTAGTCTATTTTTCTCAAAATTAAGGGGGGGCGGTAGAGAGCTAAAATAAGGGAGGTGTACGTGCAAGAATGTAAGGCAAGGAAAGTCAATTGCGGTTGTGTATACTCTGTGTACATATTGAAACCAGTTCTCTCTGGGCGGAATAATAGATAGAATAAACAATAATAGATGCATCAGAGTTCGTTTAGTATCCGAGGAGGTTAAACGCATTAAATTTTGATTAATTTTGATAATTCACATGATAGTTTCCTATGACCAGAATATTTCATTGGTTTTTTATGTGAATGATGGACATCCGTCTTGTGTTTACATTAGCGCCCAGAGACAGTACACTGCAGTACTAAAGATGTTTACACTTCTGAAATGACTTTTCTTGCCTTACATCCTTGTGTACGTGCAGAAACATGTCTAGATAGTCCAGCATTTTAGGGTTTTTGGGACACAAAAGGTTTCACAAAAATCTGGGAAGTTTTATATTTCAAAATTGTTTTATATACATTTGCGTTTTTATACACTACTATACCAAACTTTGATTATTAGAGATAATGTACATTCGCCATTTTCCTTCATATTTTATTATAGGATTTATAAATGCAAACTTGAACAGAATACAGTTTGAATTTGTAAAAGCTTTATTAAACGTGTGGTTAACAACTGAAGCTCTGGATTTGAGATTTTTAAATCTCCCGCTTTGAAATTATTGGTGGTATTATACGACTATAAGCAAATACATTTTATGAAAGTCATGATCCGTTTAAAGAATATTCTTATGAATAACTTTATACAAGAGAATGACATATAATTGGCTAAAAGCGTAATTTCAGGTGACTCTTCCTGCAAAGATGGAAATGCCCGATTCACAACGGTACCCTTTGAGCTTTGTCTCATCAAATAAATTATATATCAATAAACCATATTTAAAAACTGTTTATTTTCGACTATGGTTTCTCTACTAAAGTGACATGCGCATTTATACTGCAGGAAAACATTAGAAATGATAAGATTAAACACTTTTTAATCTAGAAAGAAACGACAATTCAATCCACATCTTTGATCAGACAAAATTTTCAAGGGTATTGTTTGGAATCGGACTTGGCCCTCTTTGTATGAAGGATCACTTAATTAATCAAAAATAGCTTAGCCTTAATTGTAGGCTTTATAATATTTAATAATATTATAATGCACACATTAAATGAAACTTTTTTCCGAATCAAATGCTTTTGATTTATAGCTTTAATACTTGACATTTAATTCATCAAGAATTGTAACGACGATCTTTAGTGCGCAGTCGAAATTCTTTGAAAAAATAAAATTCCAAGATTTATTTACTGTATTTATATTATGTATCTGTACTGCATTGTTTACATCTGCTGCATGCAGATATGAATATAAAAATGTGTATACTAAGTATTTTCTATGTAAATGTGTATGAATGTATATCTATATATAGATAGCCGGACATTTATTATATTTTGATAGATTTTAACAAAAATGCACAATGCAAATACGTGAAAACTGAAAATTCACAATGATTTAACCTTTTACAAACCAGTCAATTGTTGCGGTCAAATAACTTACCTATGTTAGATCTAGAAAGCCCGGAGCTCTTATGTTCAGTTTATATTTCACATCGAGCGGTGCAACAGGTTTGAATATAAACCTGCCCCTGTCAGTTTTCCCTTCTCAGTCTGTCTACAGCTGTGCAGTCAATATACAACATACATCATGTGTTCAAAAAATAAAAACTTTTAACATTGTTCAAAGTCAACAACAACTTTGTTTAGATATCGTTATCATTATAATGGAATTAGTTAAGTTTATAACAGTTATTGGTGTGGTTCAAGGAGTAATCTGTCAGGAACTGACTTCTAAACTATTAAAGCAAGCAGCAGATAGTCTCCTAGATCCACTCCTTCCCAAAATTAGTTCATTCAACAGCTATGCTCGGCTTCCAGAGCCTAGTTCACAAGATCTCATCTCTCGACGTCTCCAAGCTAGCCTAAACGCACAGGTTGGAGACAATTGGAAGGCTTTGAATGAACCCCAGAGATATCTAATTCTCATGAGCAAGGATCCTGTTGTACAGATTCTCAATAGCTTCGTCAATATTAAAGATCAAATTGAAGAGTTTGAAATGAGCATGAAGGGAACTGCTGTTGAATCCCAGCTGAATAATCTCTTGATATCTCCGGCTGAGTCCATGAGGAACTGGATCAGATATTGGGATACTCTTAGGAAATATATTGGACAAGTGGGTCAGCTTTACACATACTTTCAAAGCTACGTTGATCAACCAGAGAGCGCAGATAAATCCAGTCTCAATGACTTCGTATCCTCCATGGTTGAGACAAAAATCTCTGAAAGCTCTCTCAAGAATATGTTAAATGCTTTCCACCAAACTGTTCTAAGACAGGACACTAACTCAACATTATTTTCTTTTCTCTACAACAGTTTTCAGAAGGTTGGTTACAATTCAAGGATTTAATAGTTTAACACAAGACTGCAAACTAGACACGAGGAGAAGTTCGACTTTATTGACACAACTTTGTGACCTCATAGCTCCTCTAGCTTCAATTTTACGCACCCGTAGGATATTTATCCGGTTATATATTACATATTATTCAAGACATGATATTCAAGACATGATATTCTAGACATATTATTCAAGACATGATATTCAAGACATGATATTCAAGACATGATATTCAAGTATTTAAGACATGGTATTCAAGACATGATATTCAAGACATGATATTCAAGACATGATATTCAAGACATGATATTTTCAAGACATGATATTCAAGACATGATATTCAAGACATGATATTCAAGACATGATATTCAAGACATGATATTCAAGACATGATATTCAAAAGACGTGATATTCAAGACATGATATTCAAGACATGATATTCAAGACATGATATTCAAGACATGATATATTCAAGACATGATATTCAAGACATGATATTCAAGACTCAATAGCTCTCTTTAATAAGTGAAGTTATGATTGAAAAATATAAGATTTCAATCTTACGTACAACTCGCAAGCGGCAACTTCCCGAGTCTGTCATAGCCGCAGCGCTCGGCCCCCATTACAGCCTGCGTGCTCAGAGGGTCTAACTTTTGAGAAGTTACCGCTTGGGAAATTTCACAATTGGGAATTTGCCACTTGGGAAAATACCCTTGGGAAATTGCAAGGGAAATTCCCTTTGGGAAAGTATCTAACACCGTAATATATACTATTATAGTCAATTTGTAAAAAAGTTCATATGGATAAATGTTAGTCCTTTCTTTTCGAAGAATAGAAGAAGCTTCATGCGTATTATTAAAGTGAATAATGAGATTGGCGTAGTTAGTAGGAGAATCGGGGGGAGGGGGGGGGGTGCCGAGGGTGGATTGTATGTTGCATCGTGAAACAGTATACTATGAAATCATATTGAATATATATAATTGATGCACTCGTATATTCATCTACGTAGTTTATATAATAAAACTCTTTGCTCATATATATATATATTTGTTTGTATGTTAGTGTTAGCTATAGCGGGCCAAACGGCTGGACCGAATGGAAATTTTTTTTTTGAGGAACCTTTGGGTTTTCCGGTGGTAAAAAATTGAAATTTTTATTGTTTCGAAAATAAATTTAACTATATAATGAAATAAAAATTGAATCTGTAGTTTTCAAATAATAAAAAAAATGTATGACAATTACAATTGCTGTAAGCTTGAAACAGGATACATGCTGATACAGGCATAGACATTCCACAATTTTAGATAAATAATTATATACATCAGGATATATAGAGTGTTATAGATAAAAGAATACAGGAAACCCATACAGAATACAGACTACAGGTATAGAACAAAGGATACAGGTTGTAGATTAAAAATACAGGATACAGAATGTAGTAAAAAAAATATACGATACAGGTTATAGAATAAAGGTTGCAAGTTGTATTTAAAGCATATAGGATATAGTATTTAAAGAATAAAGCATACAGATTGTAACTTGGAGGGAAAAGAATACAGGATACAGGGTGTAGATTAAGAATACAGGATGCAGATAATAAACAGGATACAGGTTGTAACTTGTAGGGAAAAGAATACAGAAAACAGGGTGTGTATTCGGAATACAGAAAGTAGATAATAAACAGGATACAGGTTATAACTTGTAGGGTAAAGAATACAGGATACAGGGTGTAAATTATGAGTAAAGAGTGTAAACAAAAAAAACAGGATACAGGTCTTAACTTGTAGGGAAAAGAATATAGGTGTTAGGTAATTTCCCAAAGAATTTTCCCAAAAAGCAACTTCAAAAGGGTATCTTTCCAAGTGGCAACATTCCAAATGTGCAATTTCCCAAGCGGCAACTTCCCAAGTCTGTCCTAGACGCAACACAGGGCCCCCATCCTGTTTTGGACACAGTGCTCGGCCCCCCATCCCATCCTAGCCGCAGCGCTCGGCCCCCCTAACCCATCCTAGCTGCTGCCCCCATTGCATCCTGCGGCGCCTCGGAGGGCCTAACCTAACCTTTGGGAAGTTGCCGCTTGGGAAATTGCACATTTGGGAAATTGTCACTTATGAAGTCGACCTTGGGAAAATGCCTTTGGGAAAGAGGACACGGGGGTGTAAATTAAGAGTACATGATACAGGGTGTAGATTGAGAATAAAGGGGGCAGATAATAGACAGAAAATAGTTTGTTTCTTGTAGGATAAAGAATACTGATTTTGATAAAGAATCCTAGATAAATGTTTCAAGAATTTTAATGATCCACATTTGTCATTGAAATTAATCAATTTTTTCAGACCTTGAACTATATATCCAGATCCTAGGCCTGTAAAACCAGGTTAAGGTTTACAGACTTTTTTTATTTAGAAATTTGATCTTTATGGATCGAAATTGATTAAAATACAGGGTGTCCCACGAAACATGACAGTAGAAAGACGACTTGAAGTTCGTCTTTGATATTTGAAATGATTTACAGCATTTATTCGTAAACCAAACTTTAGAAGTACAATTCTAGAGTTAATAGTCACCAAATACTCACCTATGGTTTTGTGATTGTTGTTAAAGAATAAGACCCATGAAAAAAGGTTGACGACTGAATGTCTCCAATAAATTTTAAAAAATCAAAGACGACATTCAATTCGTCTTGCTGCATTCATGTTTTGTGGGACACCATGTATCTCTTGTTTAAGGGAAACTTCACATCTGAGTCTGAGGTTGCTAAAACAAATTTTGAGCGGCAAGCTCTGGAGAAGCTAGGGAGTGTTCGTGAAGTTCTGCCTGAGTTAAGTCGAGAGTACAGAAGATGTGATCCAAAAAATCATAAAGAAGGGCAGACATTCCTCCAGGTCAAGGGGTTCCTTCAGGTACAAAGTATTATCATTATTTTAGTTATAATTGGTTTGCTCATCATTCCTTTCTTAAAACTTATGAATGTTGAATGTTTATTTACCACAGCAAATTATTTAGTTTTTGATTGTAAAATAAAGACTATTCAGTCTTTTTAAAATAGGGTTCCTCCAAAAAAGTGGAATGCAAGGACGACTATTAATTCAATAATATTGTTCTCTTGGTAATTATAATTCAACAGCTGAGAATATGCTTAAGCTTTTTGTCCTGGCGACAACAATACAGTGAGACCCATAAAATTTACCCCTAGCTAGAAATTCAACTTTAAATGTCTATTATCACATGCACAATTGGTGTGTTCCATGTGCATTAACATTCACTATCTAAAATCATAACTTGAGTCTAACGTACAGGCGTCTTCCTGTATTCCACAGTTTAATTGGTATCACTGTATATTATTAATTTTAAGCTTATGAAAATAATCAACCATACATTTTAGCATATGTATTTTGTTTAGGGATATATTGAAAACGAAGTTGACATGAACGAGCAGAAATCCTGTAAATCCCAGTGTTCTCAATACACCTATGCAGAATCTACGGGATGCTACAAGGACCTGTTTTGTGCAAAGCAAAGACGATGCTCCGGACGGGTCTTTGATTGTGAGTTTTATAACGCAGACGCCTGGGTGTGCATGTCCCAGAATCCTGATCGAAGATATGATTGGATTCAGTACGAGGATGGAACTATTCTTGGAGATACTACAGATCAATGCATAAGTAAGATTTAACTTTCTTTTAAAATCAGAAATATCAGTTTAAAGAAAATTATATAATTGTTTGAATTTAATAACTTATTTAAGGGTATCTTTTCATCTAGAAGTGATTCATATTTATTTTAAAGATGTGTTTCTTAATTTTCACTTATTTAGGGGCAAGGGCAAGGGTGGGTGTCATCTCCAATTGGCCCCCACCCCTGTACACGCCCTCTATGCCTCTCATTATTTCTAACTGATTAAGTCAAACCAACCAAAAAGTTTTTGCAAGTTGTATGATAAAATATGGAATTAGATAGTTCACACTGCACATTGTCTTTCTATTTTTAACCTTATATACTTTGAAGATTATAACTTTTGAAGGTGTAACGTTTAAATCGTCTTTACTTTTAGATAAGATCAAGGTTGATTCCTGGTGGAGGTATATATTCTGGCATTGTTCCTACTGTCTGTGTAAGTGTGATGAGATCCTACCAACCAGTGAAAGATATTGGGCTCTGGTCTCAAGTCTAGCAGATACAGAGAACGGGTATCTTGTAACCGGAGCAAGGTTTATTAAACGCGGAAAGATCTTCTATCTTCAGATTGAGCAGGCTAAAGCTCTTCAAGAAGGTGGGGTCGATGAGTCTACCAAGGTCTGGGTTGAGCCTCCGGAGATATCCGAGGACAACCTCACCTTAAATCCACAAATATTCACAATGTCCTACGAACAGAGAGCAATCGACCTCGACACCCTCTCTGCTCCCGAAGGTCATGTTTTGACCGGCCTGAAGCTGCGAAGTATTGGAGGACATATAAACCTGGAGGCCCAGGTGACACCTATCCGGTTCAATACTGCGGAACTACTTAAAGAACAATCCATCTGGATCGCGAATGACAACACGCCAGCATCACAGAGACCAAGACAACTTCTTCCTCTGGTTATCCCTGATATTCCAACCAGGTAGAGATTGATAAAGGAGTTTACTTTTTCCTGGGCCTGGTTATCCATGGTATTCCAACCAGGTAGAGATTAATAAAGGAGTTTACTCTTTCCTGGGCCTAGGTATCCCTGTATTCCAACCAGGTAGAGATTAATAAAGGAGTTTACTCTCCCTTGGTATCCCTGGTATTCCCACCAGGCAGAGATTTATAAAGGAGTACTGCCTCCTGGTATCCCTGGTATCCCACCAGGTAGAGATTTATAAAGGAGTACTGCCCCCTGGTATCCCTGGTATCCCACCAGGTAGAGATTTATAAAGGAGTACTGCCCCCTGGTATCCCTGGTATCCCACCAGGTAGAGATTATTAAAGAAGTACTCTCCCTGGTATCCCACCAGGTAGAGATCATTAAAGAAGTACTTTCCCTGATTTATCTCTGTCGTCTTCCAGCTGTTCCTCTCTTTTTTTCATTACATAATGATCAACGTACAGTATTGTTTTTGTTTTAGGATCTATTTCTAAATTTTGTTTTACATTTTATTTCTTAAACTTAAATATATCAACGGAATAACATGTTTTTATAGATATTTCTTTAAAATATAATTGATAAAAAATATCATTTTCAGACTGATTGGACAGAACAAGGTGGATGCGTCACATGATAAATATTTACAGTTTGACACCTCCTCAGCACACAAGGATGTTGCTCAAACAACTATTCCTTTTATTGAAGCTCTACCCGTCTCTCCTAGCCCATCAGCCTGGCTTTCAGGGGCAGGATTATATCATAAGGTTTATATACTTATTTTATCCTAATATACTGTCGTCGTAGTATGTATCAATACAATGGAGATGACTTTCGACTTCACTTTTCTATTTATATCAATCTTTCAAACAGCATGGAAACACATAAACATTGGAGAAAAGAGAAATGTCAATTAATAACTCTTTTGTTTATTTGTAATTTGAAAAAAGCTTGTCAGAAAAAAAAACTTAAATAGAAAAGTCGTCTTCATTCTATTGATATAAACGCCGACTAATGTACAAAACTAAAGAATGCAACAAATTTAAAGTTATATCTTTAAAGTTTAGTACAATACTGAATTCAGGTTTAAGTTTAATTTAATCACAAACTTAATAAGTTTTTATGAATACCATTCCCCAAGCGCCGCTATATTATTGAATGCCGCAACATTTTCAAGAGAATCATAACAGAGCAAGGAGTATGAAATAGAAGGGAGATACAAGTGACGCGGCCCGCCCTACCATATGATTATACACGCTTATGATTATACTCCGTTTGTATAAGAAATATTCAGAATAGGATATTGTATACACGGTAATAAGACAAATATTTCATACTCCTTGCATTTGATTGATATAAATCTAATTTAAAGTGAAGAGATAATTTGAGTCTGCATTTTGGCTGTAACTTTGCATACTTATAGTTTTTATCTCTGGTTTTTTAAATTATACACTTTATTTCTGGATTAAAATATTATGAAAAAAAAATGTTACAATTTTTTTAATGCTTTTAATTTCAGGGTCGGATAGGATTTGGAGGATTTATTGGAATATCGGTTGAAACATTTGATTTTTCCCGCCATTTACTTTCTGATCTGGAGTCGCCATCTTTAAATATGGAGTACGTGAAAGCAGAAGGATAATAAAATTAAATGTAATGGAATTATTATTCAAGATATTAAATATATAGCCTATAAATACACAATAAAAATAAATGTACACTTAAAAGTTTTTCTTTTCACAATAGTAAATAGCAATATGAATAAATCTACAATTTGAATGTAAATGTAGGCTATGCAAAGGAACTGCTAGATCTGGACCGGTGAGTTTGACCTCGATAAGAACCCATTTTACCAATTAATTGTATACTTTTTTATTTCCTATATAATAATACATTTTTTTAAATTCTGTGATGATGGATCAAAACCTCCTGGAGTAATATTAGTAGATGTCAGTTTCACATTTTATTGAAAATATATTTCGGTCTAGGTTGACCCTGTCAGTTCTAACGATAATATAACCATCAAAATCAATAATAAAAAATGTTTTAAAAAACCACAAGAGAATAAACATACAAATAGATTTTCTTTTTCAAAGGGGGAGTCAGTTGGTAAAAAAGGAAAATAACTCGGATCATAATATTGAAAAAAAATAATTTGCAAATATTCACTTTTTTTAAGAATGTTTTAAGACAATTATTATTTCTTCAGATTGTTTCTTTCATGAAGATTCAAAATGTATTTTTGTTGGGTAATGTATTTAGAATTATTCAGTATGGTTTAAATTCTAGGTAATTACTGAATTGAGTTGTTTATCATAATTTAATGGTATGAATTGTAGATACCTAATTAAGATCGGATTAATTACAAGTTTTTACTCTGATATTTTAGATATAAGGCCAAAAAAGTGAAATAAATTGATAAATTGAAAAATCGTTTTGATGTATCTTTTTAATAGATAAATAGTGTTTTGTCAGAGTTTTGCCCAATGCAATAAAAGCAAACTTATATATGTAGCTTATAGATTACCATTTTGAAATATGTAAAACTATTTGGTGCTAATTAGATCTTTAAAAACTTTTAATATTTCTTTAATATCAAAATCTCTTTAGATTTGAGTGATTCTAAATCAAATTCCCTCTCGATCAAAAGATTCAGATCAGATTCTTCTGGATTAAAAAGTTTAAGTTCTTTTAAAACCAACCAAAAAAACTTAACTCTTACATCCTTTTGTATGTGATGTTCCATAACTCCTTATTCATTTTTTTAGACTTTTATATTTAGTATTTATCTTTTTAATGTAACAAGTGATATCTTTGGTTAAAAGTTTATTAAACAGGAACTAATTGAATAAATTTAATTGTCAATGAGTTATGCAGCACGCCAAAGGCGGACACAGGGGGGTGGCGGGGGGACATTCGCCACCCCCTGACAGATTCAGGGAGGGGCACTAATCCTTTAATTTTGTTCCTATTTGTTCCTATTTTTTCAAAAGAAAATAAAAATGTGCTTTGCATCTTGATGTTTTAGATTCTATTTTTGGAATTTTTTATTCCTATTTTTAGAATAGCTTCTCAATAGCATGTTTAAGGGAAAGAAACCTAGTGCAAAACAGGAAAACTATCTGTCTTAATATACTATAATGTGCGAAAAGTTAAAAATCTAGTTTTTTAGTCTTTAGTCATTAATTTTGACTCTTTTTGAGTCTTTTAAGTCAAAAAATTTTTTCCCTGCGGCGTGAAATTTTGTTCCTAATTATCAATTTTTTTGTTCCTAAAAAATCTTGCCACCCCCTCACTTAAATCCTGTGTCCGCCCCTGCAGCACGCCAACGCATTTATCTATATTTTAACATTAGCTAAAGCAAATCACATCGGAAATGTCTAAAACCAGAGAATAGGGAACCCATTTCTCTCCTATTCTCAAGGTAGATAGATAGATAGATAGATAAACCCGAGCCTCTATCCTCCACCCTACACTTACATCTCTCTAAGGTTGTATCAGCTGTTTATATACTACACTATATACTGCTGTATTTTGCCGGTAAAACTTTGCTAACTTTCACCTGGAACCAAGATATGCATCCTTGTCCACCAAAATCGAGCAATATTTTCCAGTTACCCCTTTTAAACTTAAGTTAGAAACAAGATAGTTTTAATTTTAAATTGTGTTTATTTAGGGCTACGAAAAGTATATGTGAGTGAGGTAAAACTAAAGACCATGGCATCGCGTTATTTTAAAGTTAAGGCTGTCTAAAAAATAGAGTTGTCAAAATCGCAGTGATATATATGAAATGATTCGATGATTACGTAATATCTGAAATGATAAATATGTTTTGTAATGAGTAATGATCAATGTTGCCCGTTTTTGCATAATTTGGCATATTTTTCTTTTGTAAAACTATATATATATATATTCAAAATATCTAAACAAATTTAAACTACACCATTAGATATGTATGTTTATCTTTGTGTGTGAATAAATCTTTATAATTTCTGGTTCCATTCTCTTCAGCCATTAAATGCAACATAGACACACAGGAAACAGACTTTTAGTAACTGATTTGAATTTTTGTGTTTCTGTATTTAGTCTATGTTTTGTTATATTCTGCGTTTAATTGATATAAGTATATATATGTAGATACACATATATTTTAATATATATAGCTAATTTTTAATGGACAGTGCAGATGTATAATTTCAAGTGATCCTCCATGTAAAGATAGCAATGCCCAAATTCACAAAATCTTTGTATTGAATAGATATCCATGCTTTTGTTTCTTCAAACTGTTAAAAAAATTACATGCGTGCATTTTTTGCTTATAAGAAGCAATGGATAAATTATCAGAATTAAACAATTTTCGTGATAGAAAAACGACGGTAACTTCGACATTTTTGATCAGATTAAGGTTTCAAGGACACCATCGTTATTAGGGCATCGTTATCTTTGTATGTAGGGTCACTTGAAATTACACATACAGTCCCTGAAGGAACAGATGCAATTTTATCATATCCTCCATTTATAAAGTGGCTTGATAGATCACAACGGTACGATATTCTTGATTTTTGAGCTAAAAAGGGATTTTTTTTTCATGGTATTGCTTCGGTTAAAGTGACATGCAAATTTATTTTTGAAACAATGAAGAGATCGGAAGAATTAAAGAATTTTGATATTTTCCTTATTGGTCACGTTGAACTGAAGTAAATTATACGTAAGATTGAAGTTATATTAATAAATCTGTTATCGAAGAGCTAGTGAGAGGAATACAGAATTGTTTTTATTTTTTAATAATATAATAATGGATAATAATGCTTTTCTAATGTTTTTAAGTAAATTAAAAACTGTAGGATCTACTAGGTCAAAAAGTCGAAGCAGTAATGTTTCATTAATTTTACCTTCTTCTTCTGTTTAGTTTGCAGTGTGGTACCGTTATGAATTTGACATGCCACAATGGAAGAGTTTCTAATATTACGTCTGCTTAAATAAGGAAATTTGAACGCATTATTGAAAACCTATTACGAGATCCAAATTAAACATTAAACCTACGTGTTTTTTTTAATACAATTCTTTTACATTATTATAAAAAAGTAAAGATTTTATTTTTAAATTTTCATCTACACAACATGAAAACAAAGATCTGATTGGCAGGGAAAACTGTTGGTAGATGATGGAAATAGTATTGCAGAATTCAAGGTAAACAACCGAAGAAAGGTTAAAGCCATAGATAAATAAATAAACATAGATATCTTATGTACGCAAAATCACCAAGAATTGTACAGTCCGCGAACTTATACTTCTAGGGGTAAGAGTGTACTTCAATGATAATCGGGGTGGTTTGGTGTTTTAATGGATTTCATAATTATTAAATCACTCACTGAGCAATATATCATATTGACGAGAACTGAAGAAGGACATGAGAAGGACTAAACTAACTTAAACTTAATACCAGCAAGAAGATTGAGATTAATGGAACTTTCAACTGTAAGACCAGAAATGTAGTTTACTGTATAACATGTGAACACTAATATATTTTCAATAAATGTGGAACTAACATCTACTTTTTTACTCTACAGAGGTTTGGTCCATCACCATCACTGAATTTTAAATCTTAAATTTCTCTCTACAGAACTCATGTACACCACAAGTACTCAAGGACATAAGAACAGCCAATGTTCACAACCGACCTAGTTAATCTATATAATAGGAATATCTTAAAACATGTCTGTACATTTATATCTTTCAAGATGAAAAATGTCGTCTTATGTGCAATCTATCTTTATCGATGGTTAAAGCATAGAATGCTGACAGACAATTTAGGGAGTACAGACCTGTACAGACCCCTAGACATTAAAGAAATATAGGTTAACATGTACATTTAAGGAAGATGGGGGATATTAGAAATAACTGTCCGATGTACTGTATGTCACCATTCGATTTATACCACATCTCCTTTCACAGGGTGAGCTACGTAGGCCTAAGTTCACCCAGCACGACATGCTACGTTTTTACGATAGGTTTTAGAGTGCAATCTCACGGCCACTTGTTAATCATACTGCTCATTCAGGGGTTAAGATTTACAACTTTTAAAGAAATACTTCAATTTTAAACATGAAACATAACATTTATGAATTCAGTCTTTTTTTTTTTGAAGATTTTGTGTTTCGTATCCTTAAATATCCCTGAATACAGATGTTTGCTGATTGGTAGTGTACAGTACTTGTACACAATAGAACATATTCGCATATTTTAGCTGATAATCAATCTCTGTAACTCTCTTATCTCTGATCTTTACCTAAACACCAGATTCCCTTTGAACCCTTATCTCTACCCTTATTGCAAAGACGACGGATTGCATTCCTTGTAAAAAACTCAAACAGCTTAACTGATAAAAACGTATTATACTAGAAAATTAGAATTTTAAATGACAAATTTATTTACATGTTAAACTCAACAAAAAAATGTGACACACGAAAAAGAACAGAAATTGTTAAAATTTTGCCAGACAAAAATGTCCCTTATATTACAAATGGGAAAAAGAGAAGATTAACGGAAAGCATAATTTTGTTTTAAACACATATATATTTAAAATCTGGGATTAATTTAAATAAGTTTTTGTGCTAAAAAATCGATATTTTCTTTTTCAAAATTCGAATTTCTTTTTCAAGTGTTTTTAAAATTCCACAGGCAACGCCGGGCACTTCAGCTAGTATTTTATAAGTCACAAAAACTATATATTTTGGATCGTAGATCGAAACAAAGGATTTATATATTTATATATATTTGAATCCTAAGGATAAATTTTTGACACAGAGTATTTTGGACACACGTGTGACGGATGTGACGTGAGTACAGTATTTTTGGGACACACAGAAACACATGTATTTGCGACATACTTCAAGTTTTATGGACCAACCGAATTAAATTTTAGGAATTTGACTGTAACCTGAGTAGGTCGGAAATAAGAAACTGTCGGAAGGAAATCAAGGAACTAGACGGACAGAGGCTTATTTTCCGAAACTGCGGAGTCAAGTAGGTTAAATCAAGAATAACAAAAGTATAAGATTAAGTCAAGGACTCAAGGTTATTTAATCCAAAAACATGAAGTCAAGGCATACTTGTCTATAGGATTGATAAGAAAGCAAAGGAATTAATCTAAGATTTTTTTACATAAGTTTTAAAAACATAGAATTTGGACGTGAGTTGAAGTTTCATTTGGGAATTTTGGGAATCTGACATGCTTTCCTGGGTGAAAATATTGGTCCAGGTGACATCGGGGCCTAGACCAGCCAAAATTTGAAACTGTATTCATTTAAAAAAAATATGAAAGGTCTAGCATAAATAGTTAGAAAGTTAGTCGGGGGTTGAATTCATGTAAAGGAAATAGATTATTTTAAGTAGTATCATAATACTATAAACATGAAATTTTTATTCTAGAGATGACAGAACTGGTTGCAGTACAGATGTACACAATATAACAACATGCTTCTGCAGTACAGATTATTGTAATTCAGCGCCAACGTTTTCAAACCCACATTTGTTTTATCTGATGCTATTTGTTTTGGTTTTATTTTGTCAACATGCTGATCGTAACTAAAACCTCATTTGAAGTATAAATGGACTGACTTTTACACAGCTTCTGCAAACAGGGGTAGTTTCGCAGTACACGATTCTATCACTTGTTTCCTAATACTTTTTGATTGTTGGTAACCGCAAAAAAAGTTCTCGGAAAAAATCTCTGGAAATAAAGTCCCATCACTTTCTTTCCTTGGACTTTTTTTCTGATTCCGGTATGATTTTTACAAAAACTTCCCGGGAAAAAAGTCCTATTATAGTAGAAAATGCATGGTAACAAAGGATGTTTATAACCGTGTAAAAAAGGGGGCTTGATATTTCAAACACCCCTAGCTATGTTCAATATGCAGATGTATAGAAGAAAAGTTGTTTTTATGAAAACGTCTCATGGACTTAACCTCATTTTCACAAGACTTAGGACTTTTTTTCATGGTTTTTTTCTTCGAATATATTTTTTTGAAGACTTTCAATCCTGTGATCTTATTTCCTGAGACTTTATTGGCAGCCTCCTATTTCTCCTATTTTAGAAAAAAAACGTTCCAGGAATCTTAACCTCAGGACTTTATTTCCAGTGACATTTTGTACAAGGACTAGAAAATTGAGATTTTTTTACTAATATTTTTATTTCCAGATCTTTTCCAGAAACTTTTTTTCCATTGTCTTTCTTAAATAGATTCTTAAATGTGTATGTTTTTGGGAAATTCTTGGTAAAATCTTTTGACAAAATCAACGAAATTGATACTATCAAGGAAAATTCCTGCAGGAACGCCCATATCGTGTTGTTTACAAGTTTCTGGGATTACAAAGTATAACCTGAACAACATTGCGTTTGTTTACATTCCTCCCAGAAACTGCGGTACACTTAGTTTGTTTACATTCCTCTCAGAAACTGCGGTACAGTTAGTTTGTTTACATTCCTCTCAGAAACTGCGGTACACTTAGTTTGTTTACATTCCTCCCAGAAACTGCGGTACACTTAGTTTGTTTACATTCCTCCCAGAAACTGCGGTACACTTTATTTGTTTACATTCCTCCCAGAAACTGCGGTACACTTAGTTTGTTTACATTCCTCCCAGAAACTGCAGTACACTTTATTTGTTTACATTCCTCCCAGAAACTGCGGTACACTTAGTTTGTTACTAAACCTGTTTTATCAAACCTGCTTTTTAATAAAGGGTTAAATTATATTTCTTAATATCACATTTATAACACAGATCTTTACATCTTTTATGCTAATTATTTACAATGCGTACATTTTTCAAAAACCATACAATGTTTGCAAATTTCATGTTTTTTGTTAATAATTCTCAACATGAGTTTGAAAAACCATAATTTTTTTATCCCCATGCTTATGCACACCTTTCGCTTTGAATATTGAGATAGAGCGTTGAAGATTAAAATACTCCACTTATAAGTTCTGACCTCTCGTTATAAAGGTTTTAAAAGTTTAAAGCTTTAAACCAAAACCAAACTGTGCTAAAATTAAGATTTAATTGTTGGTAATTGTTGGATTTGAAATGTAACTTTATGTAATTTCTGCATGCAGAGTCTAAAACTAAAGAACAAAAAGTTTTGACTTAAATTTTAAGTTCATGGTTAAATGCCACTTCTGACTTTCTCAATTTTAAATTTGAATTTCCCGGGAAAAATCTGAACCAATCAGAGAAAAGGATTTACGGAGAATATTACATAACCATCGCTAATCAGCTGTTCTTACGTAACCGAAAACAAAACATACAACCAATCTATATATGTACGTATATATATTGTACATCTGCACAGCAAAAAAAACTCCATTGCTTTACAGGGTTACCCTCAAAGGATTAGACTGTAAAGACGACTTAAAACTATTTAAATAAGGCAATTTCAAGATTAAAGTCTTCTGCCCTTAAAAATGGGCCTTTCATTAATCATTGTGCAAAGAAAGAAAGAAGTTTAAATTTGCCGGGGCCAGGGAATCATATATTATAGAAGGAAATGTCATCTCTATGAAGTCTAATCCTTTGTCGGTTACCCTGTTTCTATGTTAAACAGTCCACGTGGTTATTACATACATCGCCAACTCTGCACGGTTTGAACTAATTAAAATAATTATAGATACTATTGCAGTTGCCCAAGGAAGTTACGTGCGCTGGTATAACGCGTTGAATTACAAGAAAGAAAGTGATTAGTATTTATTTTAGGGCTAGGAAAAATTAAGACACTTTCTGGGCCGAGCACTGCGTCTAGGAGAGACTAGGGGGCCGAGCGCCGCGGTATTAACAGGCTCTCTCTGTCTTGTAATTCAACGAGGCATGTGCGCACGTAACTTCCTAGGGCTTCTGCCTAGATACCAAACTTGATTTTTGAAGGAAATAGCATTTTAAAAGGAAGTAGAACTACATTCAGGGCTACCCATAAAGAATAAGACTTCAATGACAAAAATGATCAGATATATCATGACATACTACTTCAATTCAGTCATTTGCATTCAATAAACTCTTATAATGGCACGCATATTCAATTATTTAGCAGAAAAAAAAACAAGTTTATTGTTGCTAACACTGCATAAATGTAATAAAATCCGTACAGTCGTCTGTCAATTCTTAAGTTTCATCCTTTGTGTGTATCCCTGTATATATTTATTTGAGACTTTGAGATGTATAAATGTCATGATTAGTAAACTTTTGGAGTAAAGGAGTTTTTATGCAGTGTTGTATAAATGACTGAAATATGAAAGTTGAATCTACTCTTCCTTCTCAACATCCTCTACCACCTCTTCTTTCCGTCTCTGCTTGTACGCCTGGGCCTCCTGCTTGTCCATGTTCTTCCTTGCCCTCCTCTGCTTCCTCATCATCAGCTTCTCCTGGAGGTTACCCTGCACCCGGGCCTAGGCATTATCATTTCATTAAACGATACATTCAAGCTGAACCCGGGCCCAGGCATTATCATTTCATTAAACGATTCATTCAAGCTGAACCCGGGCCCAGGCATTATCATTTCGTTAAACGATTCATTCAAGCTGAACCCGGGCCCAGGCATTATCATTTCATTAAACGATTCATTCAAGCTGAACCCGGGCCCAGGCATTATCATTTCATTAAACGATACATTCAAGCTGAACCCGGGCCTAGGCATTATCATTTCATTTAATAATTTACTCAAGCTGAACCCGGGCCTAGGCATTATCATTTCATTAAACGATTTACTCAAGCTGAACCCGTGCCTAGGCATTATCATTTCATTTAACGATTTACTCAAGCTGAACCCGGGCCTAGACAATATCATTTCATTTTCGATTTATTCAAGCTGAACCCGGGCCTAGGCATTATCATTTCAATAAACAATTTACTCGAGCTGAAACCGGGCCCAGGCATTATCATTTCATTAAACGATTCATTCAAGCTGAACTCGGGCGTAGCATTATCATTTCATTTAACGATTTACTTTAGCTGAACGTTTAAAACCTTCTTATATAAAAATATCCAGAATATCCATTGTTTCTGGACCCCGCCCCCCTCTCTTCACCAATAGAATAGAATAAAATTGTAAATATTTAATAAAAAATATAGTTTTACCTGATTTTCCTTAAACTGTTTGTTTATTCTCTCATTTTCCTCCTGGAACTGCCCTTTCAGAGCATCAACTTTACCAAATATATCCTGAAATAAAATATTTATCAAAATATGTTTAAAGAATTAGTAGTTAATCTAAGCATTCTTTAATGTATTTCGAAAAAAAATGAAATATTGAAAGATCAAATTTAAAGTACTCTCCTCAATATGTAGCCCTAATCTCAATACGTAGCACTAATCTCAATATGTAGCCCTAATCTCAATATAAGCCCTAATAATCTCAATATGTAGCCCTAATCTCAATATAAGCCCTAATAATCTCAATATGTAGCTCTAATCTCAATATGAGCCTTAATAATCTCAATATGTAGCCCTAATCTCAATATGAGCCCTAATAATCTCAATATGTAGCCCTAATCTTAATATGAGCCCTAAAAATCTTAATATGTAAACCTAATCTCAATATGCAGCCCTAATCTCAATATGCAGCCCTGATCTCAACATGTAGCCCAGATTTGTGATTTCTAAAGTTAAAATCCCAATCTATAGCTGTAATTCCAATCTGTAGCCCTAATCCCAATCTGTAGCTGCAATCCAAATCTGTAGGCCAAATCCCAATCTGTAGACCAAATTCCAATCTGTAGCCGTAATCCCAATCTGTAGCCCAAATCTCAATCTGTATCTGTAATCCCAATCTGTAGGCAAAATCCCAATCTGTATCCGTAAATCCAATCTGTAGCCCAAATCTCAATCTGTAGCTGTAATCCCAATCTGTAGTCCAAATCTCAATCTGTAGCTGTAATCCCAATCATCTTTATTTCTAAACTTATAATTTCAATATGTAGCCCAATGACCAATCTGTATTTCTAAATTTAAAATCCCAATATGTAGCCCTATTCTCAATATGTTGCCCAAATCCCAATCTGTAGCCCTAATCTCAATCTGTAGTTGTAATCCCAATCTGAAGCCGTAATCCCAATCTGAAGCATTATTTCGAAAGTTATAATTCCAATATATAGTCCAAATTTTAATCTGTAGCCGTAATTCGTCACTGTATAGTTCTAAAGTTAAAGTATGTAGCCTTTGGCCCAATCTCACGCGAATTTAACAAGTTCATCCTTATCTTAGCAAGCTGTGACTATCGATCACAATTTGACCTCATAAACATTAACGGTTTGCCATTTCACTTCTCTACTTCTATGGGTTTTATTTGTATAAGTACAAGAGGACAACTTCAATCTGTATGTGTTTACCCTCATCACAACCTATATGTAATAAACGGAACTTGTAATGCGATTAACCTAGCTTAACTACATCTGTAAATATGTCAAACCATGTATTGGGATTAGTTTATCTGCGCCTATATATATCTGCTGCAATCTTGTAAATATGTACATTAAACTTAATCTTAAACTTAAACTGAAACGCAGTTTCAATGAATAATGTCATTATGTTTAAGTCTACAATATTAAATTATTAATAATGTATAACATAATGCAGGTTTACAGAATATTATGTTTCCACAATTTTTGCTACAAACCAAGTTGTTTTCCCTTATCCAAATCTGCAGTTTACAGATATAAAGATTAGATACACCCTACCCTGTACCTCGTTAGAAGGAGGTGGAGCTAAGTCTTCATCTGACATTGCTCTAAGAGCTTCAAGATCCTCCTCAGAGAGTTCAGCGAGCAACGTCGGATCCTTCATGTGTATAATCAAATCATTATCTGTCATAAATTTGATATTTATATAAAATAGAATAAAGAATATGCAAAGGAACATTCTTGTTTTTACTTTTTTTGCAAGTGATATTATTTTAGCATCATATACAAATTATTTCTCAGTAAATAAAAAAACTAAAAAATTTACCTGTATATCAATATCCTCTCCTGTAATCTCCTTCGCTTTTTTCTAAACAAAGAAAATAAATAAACATAGTTAATGCTCCTTCTGCACTCATTATATAGCCTTAAAATGTCTAAGTTATTTAGAGGATTTAAAAAAAAAACATTTCTTTGATGAATGGATAGGATCAAATACGCGGTCGAAATGTCGGAAAAAAATCTAAAATACTTTAACATTTTTTTTATGAATTTAGCCAAGGATTTAAAATCATAAAAAGTTTGAATTTCCTTGAACAATGGATATGAAACATGTGAGACATGCACATAATAATATGATTAATTTTTCAACACATTAACGTACACTATAAATTAAGAACTCAAACGTATACTTTTTTATTTATTTTAAACCTCCGTTTACATTAACGTACACTATAAATTAAGAACTCAAACGTATACTTTTTTATTTATTTTAAACCTCCGTTACAACCAGCTAGCTTGCCATTTAAATTAGAGTTATATAACATTTTTCAAAGATGTGCTGGCACTGAACAATTTGGCTCTGGAAAACAATAAATTATAAATCCATAATTTTGTATTTGAAACATGTTCATTTTCATTTGTGGTTTCTCTGCAAAAGGTTCTTGCTGAAAATGGAGAAATTATCAGAACTAAACACTTTTCAGGCCAGAAAACGACATTATAATTTTCACATTACAGAAGGGATTAAAGTTGAAATGTAGGATTACTTGAACAAGAACAATCCCTTTAAATACAAGATATTTACCTTTATTAGTCGAACCCTTTCCTGCCTCAAGGACATAGAGCTGTCCTTGACCTTCTTGTTGATGTCTTCCAGATCCTTGGCTATAGTGGTCGTTACAACCTAGACATTTGGAATATAGTGGTCGTTTCAACCTAGACATTTAATATAGTGGTCTTCACAACCTAGACATTTGGAATATAGTGGTCGTTACAACCTAGACATTTGGAATATAGTGGTCGTTACAACCTAGACATTTGGAATATAGTGGTCGTTTCAGCCTAGACATTTGGAATATAGTGGTCGTTTCAACCTAGACATTTGGAATATAGTGGTCGTTACAACCTAGACATTTGGAATATAGTGGTCGTTACAACCTGGACATTTAGAATATAGTGGTTGTTACAACCTAGACATTTGTAATATAGTGGTCGTTTCAACCTAGACATGTGGAATATAGTAGTCGCTACAACCTAGACATTTGGAATATAGTGGTCGATGCAATCAAGACATTTGGAATATAGTAGTCGTTACAATCTAGACATTTGGAATATAGTGGTCGTTTCAACCTAGACATGAGGAATATAGTAATCGTTACAACCTAGACATTTGGAATTAAGTGGTCGTTGCAATCAAGACATTTGGAATATAGTAGTCGTTACAATCTAGACATTTGGAATATTGTGGTCGTTACAATCTAGACATTTGGAATATAGTGGTCGTAACAACCTAGACATTTGGAATATAGTGGTCGTTAAAACCTAGACATTTGGAATATAGTGGTCGTTGCAACCTGGAAATTTGGAATATAGTGGTCGTTACAACCTAGACATTTAGAATATAGGGGTCGTTACAACCTAGACATTTGGAATATAGTGGTTGTTACAACCTAGACATTTGGAATATAGTAGTCGTTACAACCTAGACATTTTGAATTTTGTGGTCGATGCAATCAAGACATTTGGAATATAGTAGTCGTTACAATCTAGACATTTGGAATATAGTGGTCGTTACAACCTAGACATTTAGAATTTAGTGGTCGTTTCAACCTAGACATTTGGAATAAAGTAGTCGTTACAACCTAGACTTTTGGAATTTTGTGGTCGTTGCAATCAAGACTTTTGGAATATAGTAGTCGTTACAATCTAGACATTTGTAATATTGTGGTCGCTTCAACCTAGACATTTGGAATATAGTGATCGTTTCAATCTAGACATTTGGAATATAGTAGTCGTTTCAACCTAGACATTTGGAATATAGTAGTAGTTACAACCTAGACATTTGGAATATTGTAGTCGTTACAATCTGGACATTTAGAATATAGTGGTCGTTACAATCTAGACATTTGGAATATATTGGTCGTTTCAACCTAGACATTTAAGATTCTTTGAATATTAAAAGCTGTATGAATACCATGGCTCTAATGTACAATATCCATTTGAGTTTTTGCTTTAAAAAAATGTCTTTTTCAACCTTTGATATTTAAAATTTAGACTATTTGATCTAACATAATTTATAGTTTGAAATATGAAAGGTCATACGATATTAAGTTGCAAAAATATAGAGATTTAAAATTAGGATTTAGGCAAAAACTAAATTCCTTAGGATATCGGCTCAATCATTGGGTTCGGAAAAAAGGAAAAAAGCGACTTAAAAAATTAGGTCAAAGGCTAGATCAGAATTAAATTTGATACGGATCGCTACCAAGCTTGTTTTTTTTCTTGATATAAACCGTTTTTCTCTTAGATATGTTCACTCCGGATATTCAGAGATCAGGTAGGCCATCTGTTCTTTTTTAGTTTTCGTAAACGCTCCCTTTAATAAGTTCCCACCTGGTTTATCCACTGCAGAAGAGCTCCACAACGTTTAGCTGTTGTTGAATAGCAGTCCAGAGCATGTTTATGTCGCTCAGGGGTTTGCATATCTGTGAATATATAGGCAGTTGCCTATATAAATATATAGAGGTATGAGTAAAGAAAACTACAAGGTGTCCCACGGGCCACGAAACATGACAGTTAGTGAATAGTATAAAATGTTTCCTTCCGTTAAATATTAAATGCATTAGTCATTTTATAGTTAAATTGATTTCAACACAAAATATATTTGAGTAAAAGGTTTTTAACGAAATAAACTGCAAAAAGTCTTTAATATCTAATACAGTATATGGAAGAAGATATTTAAAACTATTCACCCACATTCATGCTTTGTGGTACACTAATATGATATATGATTAAAATGCTCAAATTCATCATGCACAAGCCCTAAAGTTTTTTATGATACGAGTAAAAAAAAATTTATTTTTTTAAAACCTTTCAAGTTTCAATCCCTTACAGTTTTTTACTTTATTGTAGATCAATAAGTGAGAAAACCAAATATCTTTACGTCTTGAAACACTGAATTCAGATTTCAGAAATGTTAAAATCTTAAAATGAATGTTGTTCCTAAGGAATTGAGTCTTGGTCACAAACTCAAATGTTCCAATCTCGATATCTTTGCAGCCTGATGATGTAAATCTTTGATATTTCAAACTTATATTATTTGATCAAACACATTTCATAGTTTGAAATATCTAAGGTCTGCTACATTTGGTTTTAAAGATACAGTAAATAGAGAATCTGAGTTTGTGGCAAAGATTCAATTCCTTTGCTACTACTCTTTAGTTTTTTTTTTTTTCGATGAAGTAGTTTAACCTGAGATAAGATTAATAATCTATGAAAATCACAAGGAATAAATTCGAATGGTTTGTGAGCTAATTCTATGGAATGACTGAAGAAGCTTGCTTAATTAAGTTTAAAAAACGGTAAGCGTAATTCCACGTGACCCGCAATGCAAAGATGACAATTCCGACGGTATCCTTGAAATGATCAATACTGGGGAAGATATTACCGTTTTTTTTCTTGATTGCTTGCAGCAGAAATGAGAAAGTAACTTTTTCAGAGAAACAACAATATTAAATCATCAGTCTTGAACATTTGTGACATTGATATCTAATTCATAATAGATCAGACAAAGATTTTAAAGAATCGGACAGTACCATCTTTACATGGAGGGTCACTTGAAATTACACTTACAGTCCCTTTAATAGCTCTTTTGAACTGGGAAAATTGTTTTTGACAGCATACCATTACTGTAATTATTCATACTTGATGATATAAACTTAATTGTGATGTTGCACGTTAAAATAAATGATATAATTGTTTACAACTATTTTACAGGGAAGTTAAGGGAATTTTACTTTACCAAGGGAAGTTTAAGTATATTTTTTTATTTCCCAAAAAAGTAGTTGTTTACAATTTTATCGTCATTTCAGATGCAAAGGCGAGAATTTTTTCACTAAAACTTTGCAGAGCGGGTCGTTTACTTAATTTTCCCAATTTGATCAAAAGGCGGTAAAGTTTATTAATAGATTATATAATTGTTATTATCTTAAATACCTTATTAAGAGTAGCAACCTCTGAAGGAGCACAGTAAGGGAATGCTACATTACTCAGGTATCTCTGTGCGCCCTACACATGTTATAACAATTTGAAGTGCTCCTCAAAATAAACTGGACCCAGAAATAAGTCAATTTTTTTGTGATTCTTGGGTTGAAGCATTGATCTTCATCTTATACAGACTAAGTAAAGGAATAATCTTAATTGAAGGATCACGCATTTATCCTCAAATTTAATAGTGCTCATATCGGATATCGAGCTCAAGCGGGTAAGATTAATGATACTTATACACAAAAGTTCCCATTTCAGCTAGGGTACTTTTAAAACCAAAGATATGGATTTGTTCTTATTTAGATTATTAATGTCAACGATTTGTGATGAGTAATTCATGATCTTTACATAGATCATTGTTTCTGTTAACTAGGAGGGGGGGGGGGGACTCCATACCTCTTATTGGGTTTTCTCTTTTACTTAAAACCAGCTTGAAATCTAAAATTGCCCATAACGTTTTTAAAGGGAGTGTTCGCGAAAAATGAAAGGGGGTATATGCTTAATGCGATAAAAAAGCGCTTTTGATCGCTACTAATCTTACTTCTATCTGTTACGTCTATAAGGAGAAAATTGTTAGAAACGACTAATTTTGTATTTTTCATGATCTGAGAGTTACTTTTGAAAACATTTATTCCTGTTTCGAGGATTTTTGATAATGAAGACGACATTTTCATACTTTCCAGGAATGTTCGAAAATCCAACGCCAACGAAAATTATTTTTTTTTTAAATCAAAAGTACTATGAAATATTAACTATATACGAATGCGTCGAAAAATAATCGATGACTACTGTTTGTAATATCTGAATGATTTGTTTGGAATTCAATTGATTTGTTTACGATCCGAGTTGAATGTTGCATCTTTCCGAATTTGTATGGACGCTGCGTTCTTCGGTGTGAGTCGTTTTTAACAATTTTCTCCTTATAAACAGAACAGATAGAAGTAAGATTAGTAGCGATCAAAAGCGCTTTTTTATCGCATTAAGCCTATANATGTTCTTGAAAATTAATATGTATTGCGTGCTAATATTATTCAATTTAAAAAAAACATACCCTACATACATAAACGTACTTATAAACCCTTCTCAGCGTGCCTCAAATATTAAAGTTAGGCGTCTATAATTTCAAAACAATCGTAACCCACTCAATATTTTTATTTGAGTTTAGGGAAATTTTCATTAACTTTAAAATATTTTAAAACAGTATTAAACATTATATATTAATGATTTAATTATTCATGACATTAATACAACTTTGGTTGAAATAGAGCGAGTAATTTATATTTACATTAGAAACATATATTTGTTTGATATTACAATGATACTTTGTCTAAATTGTTTTGATGTTTTCATATTTTTCCAGCTTTTTTTTCGTGAAATTATCGTTAAAGTAGAAGGAGATGATAAATTTGGCGTACCGTCCCGGGTTGTCTTACATAATTGTACTGTACAGCTTTCGCTAGCTGGTTAAAAGTTGGCCCGGTACTTGAAATGAACCGGACCTTTTAGGGAAAGACCTGAGTGATGATTGTAGAGATTTTGTTTATTCTAAATTGACTAAAATTTTCGCAATTCTCTATGGATGTTCTCGTTTACCGTAATCTTGCTTAGCATCTTTCATCAGTATACAAATGTTTTATCTTTGTATTCGACCCATGATTAAATCTTGACATCGAAGTGACATTTACAGAGATAAGCTCATCTTCAAAGTCACATTCTTTTAGAGTAACCCTGTACCATAATAAAGAAATGTAAAATAATATGTCGGCCATGTTTTTTTACCCAATATATTGAATCCATATTCCAATTACATGTGACCTTGATGCAAGCTAACATTATTTAAGTAATTAATCCTTTGTTTTTATAGTTTCGTTCAACCTGACAGAATACAGGGTGTTTAAAAAAAACAATATACTATATATCACCAAACATTTTCATGTTGATTTTATGAAAATACCTACCAGGGACTAGGGCTAGTCAATGTTCCGTTAACGAACAGCAAGTTTTTTAAATTCAACGGCAAAGTCAATCAACAAACGGCAAAAACCGTTGATTTTGAAATCGTTAACGAACGAAAATAGCCGTTCTTAAAAATAAAATTAATGGTTTTTAAGAAAACCTAATGGATGTGTTTAAAAATTCGGCAATTTTCGTTAATCTTTTCTTTTTAAATTACATGAAACTCACAGAAAATTAAAAAAATTAATTTTGTGTGTTTTAAGGGTTTTTTACGTGTTTTGATGTTTTCATTTTTTCCAGCTTTTTTTTCGTGAAAATATCAATAAAGGCTTGTTAACGGCTAGCACCGATAACGATTTCTAAAATATCTTCCTTTAACACCGGTAATTGAGATTATTTACGAACATAAACATTGAGAAAGAAACATATATTTGTTTGATATTACAATGATACTTTGTCTAAATTGTTTTGATGTTTTCATATTTTTCCAGCTTTTTTTTCGTGAAATTATCGTTAAAGGCTCGTTAACGGCTAGCACCGTTAACGATTTCTAAAATATCTTCCGTTAACGCCGGTAATTGAGATTATTTACGAACATAAACATTGAGAAAGAACGAAAATACTGTTAAATTACGGAACGTTCAGTTCTTAGCTAAAGAACGAACGGCTTAAAGTTTTAAAACGATTATCACTAACCGTTAACATTTAACAAACGACTTGAAAAGAGTCTAAATGTGCCCAGCCCCAAAGGAAACTAGATTCATTAAATTCACTAAATCTGGTCCGAAGCCATACTGTCGCTGCGCACTGGACAATAAATGTATTTAAAGACGACAGATATAAAAATGCGGGAAGTGTTCATGACGAAAAAATCACTTTTAACTAATATATTAAGACCCGACCCATTTTCTCAATAATTATGATCTTCCACAAAATATAAATATCTAAACAATCCCCTTGAAGAGTATTATTAGAGGTGGATCCTACCGTAATATTTTGACCGGCAGCAACCAGGTTATTCCTCGCTATGCTTGCAATCCCATATCTAGTTGAAATTGAACTTTAAAGGGAGTGACTTCATAGTGCATAGACATGGTAGTTGAGTTGATAGTGCAGTATTATTTTTTTAGGATTAATTTGAGACCAATGAATTGTTTCGCAAGAGCTAGAAATTGATCTTTAAAATCCTCTTTGGCGCCCGCCAGCCCGCCTGCCCGCCAGCCCTACAATGTTCGCCCTGGCTAAACAATTTTACACCGTAAAAACGTTTTATAGTTCTTAAATAAATTCTAAAAAATGACACTAGAAAAATGCATTCACAGCTCACTGTCCAAAAAACAAAATAATCAAATCATTAAAAGAATATTTATTACTGAAAACTCAATAACTGTTCTCACAAATTAACGCAAAAAAATGTATTCTTGAGATTAAAGGGAAAAGCTGTTATAATAAGAATGATTATTTAAATGAAAAATGAAAAAAAAGTTTAATAATTTGACAAATTACCTCTCCTCTAATTTATCAGGCTCTATATCTGGGAGATAAGTCCACTGCTTTACTGCCTCCTGTAGCTGCTTGTAAGCATAATCAACCATTAACTGCGCTTGCTGCCACTTGAAGTTCGCTTCAACAATTCTAAAGTATTTAAAAACTTTCACTTTTGAGAATACTTGCTTACCCCTTTATATACATATTGTACAGTTAAAGGAATTGACTCTTTGCAACAAACTCAGTACGTTTTTCTAATCCCTATACCTTCGGATTCCAACGTCGTAAACCTTTGAAATTTCAAACTATGACTTTTGTTAGATCAAAAAATATAAGTTTGAAATATCAAAGGTTTACGACATTGGGCTCCAAAGATATTGGGATTAGAAAATCAGAGTTTGTGGCAAAGAGTCAATCCCTTTACAAGTAAATTGAAGCTATGGAGACAGGAAAGGAAGTGGTAGTGTTTACCGTTGGGGACCGAGCGCTGCAGCTAAGACAGGAAAGGAAGTGGTGGTGTTTACCGTGGGAAACCGAGCGCTGCAGCTAAGACAGGAAAGGAAGTGGTGGTGTTTACCGTGGGAAACCGAGCGCTGCAGCTAAGACAGGAAAGGAAGTGGTGGTGTTTACCGTGGGAAACCGAGCGCTGCAGCTAAGACAGGAAAGGAAGTGGTGGGGTTTACCGTGGGAAACCGAGCGCTGCAGCTAAGACAGGAAAGGAAGTGGTGGGGTTTACCGTGGGAAACCGAGCGCTGCAGCTAAGACAGGATAGGAAGTGGTGGTGTTTACCGTGGGAATCCGAGCGTTGCAGCTAAGACAGAATAGGACCAGCACTGCAGCTATGACAGGATAGGAAGTGGTATTGTTTACCCTGGGATGACCGAGCACTGCAGATAAGGCTAGGCTAGGGAGTGGTAGCATATACCTTGGGGACCGAGCACTGCAGATAAGGCTAGGCTAGGGAGCGGTAGCATAAACCTTTGGGACCGAGCACTGCAGATAAGGCTAGGCTAGGGAGTGGTAGCATATACCTTGGGGACCGAGCACTGCAGATAAGGCTAGGCTAGGGAGTGGTGGAATTTACCGGGGGCCGGTAGGGGGGCACTTAAGGTAAGCAGGCTAGGAAGCGGTACCATATCCTTTGGGGACCGAGCACGGCTAGGGAGTGGTAGCATATACCCACAGCGGTGGAGGAGCTGGAGGCTACCTGTTTCTCATTTCCTCGTTCTGATCAAGTTGATGTTCAAACTGATTTTCTGCCTGAGAACCATAGTCCCCACCAAATATTCTAAAATTATTTTTATTTTGATAAGTTCTTCTTTTATCATGTTTGCCCCGTGTAGTGATTAAGAGTATGTATTAACAAAGTATTTTTAGAAATTATTAATTAAAATTGTTGACGTATAAACGTACATATATGGGATCCGTTATATCAAGAATGTTTTTAATGAATGATAAATAGAAAATATCAAGTTATAAACTATATACATTGCCCTGTATATTATACAACTAACATATGGTTTGAAAATATCAAGATATATACTATATACATTGCCCTGTATATTATACAACTAACATATGGTTTGAAAATAAACGTCACTTTTCTAAACTGTCAACTATCAATCTTATTTTGAATTTTAAACAGAATTCAATTGAAGATTTTTTTCCGCAGAACCAATTTGTTTTGAACCAATTTTGCAAACATAGCATATGTTAACATGCTATGTTTGCAAAAGAATCGAAGAAAGCAAAGACGATTTTACAAAGAAAAGACTCAAAAGATTAAAAAAGTAAAAGATATAATCAAACATTAAAGATGTCAAAAATCGGCGCGAATTAAAAAGATGCTTAAAAATGCCCTATAAAAATGCCCTTAAAAATGCCTATATCTTTTTTCACAACCCATGAAGCCTAATTTTTACTTCTAAAAGTTGTTAGTTCATCGTCGAAAAATACTAATAATCCACCACCAGTTATATTTATGAAATACTTTCCTTTTTTTCCCTTTTTTTATTTTTTAAAATTGGGGGGAAATATTCACAGCACCTCCATTTTTGAAGGTTTTTAAATATTTTCTCCTGGAAAACTTTATTTTGTATGTTTTTGTTATATTTCATATAGAAATAATTACTTCCTTAAAACTTCTTTTATAAGATAGAGTTTTAAACAATATGTCTCTTGTGTTGATTTAAAGAATTTAAGTTTCTATAAAAATGATAATAGAGAAAAAGATAGTCGAAATGATTCCAATATCATTAAAAAACATTCTGATAAAGAAATTATAATTTATAATAGTATATTTTTACCTTCCTAGTAGAGCGTCTTGTCTTGTATACAAACCCTAAAGAAAAAAGAATTCATCAAATGATAAAAATTCATGTTTCTTCGTTGTCCTGTTTCCTTCTCCTTTTTCATTGTCCTGTTTCCTTCTCATTTCTCATTGTCATGTTTCCTTTTCATTTTTTCATTGTCCTTTTTTTCTTTTATATTTCCTTGAACTGTTCTTGCTTTTTCCCTTTCATGTTTTACTTTCTCTGTTTTCTTGTCTTGTTTTCTTGTCAAGTTTTCGGGTCCTGTTTCTTTGTCCTGTTTTAGTGTTCTGTTTCTTGTCCTGTTTCTTGTCTAGTTTCTTGTCCTGTTTATGTCCTGTTTCTTGTCCTTTTTTGTCACTCCAGACCTGTTTTTCTTGTCCAATTTCCCCGTCATTTGTCCTGTTATGCTTCTTTGTTCTTTTTCGTGGTTCATTCCATCTTTACTTTGTCCTGATCTGTTTCCTTGTCCAGTCCTATGTTCTGATCTGTTTCCTTGTCCCGTTCCCCTGTCTTTTTTCCTGATCTGTTTCTATGTCCTGTCCCCCTGTCCTATGTCCTGATGTGTGTCCTTGTCCTATTTACCTGTAAATGTTTAGCCTGTTCTTCTAGTTCCTCTAGATCTGATATAAGAACACTGTGCTGTTCTTCTAAGCTTGCCAGTTCAGCTTTAGATATCTCCTGAACATTTGGTTTATTATTAGATATCTCCTGAATATTTGGTTTATTATTATATATCTCCTGAACATTTGGTTTATTATTATATATCTCCAGAACATTTGGTTTCTTCTTAGATATATCTCCTGAACATTTGGTTTATCTATGATATCTCCTGAACATTAGTTTATTATTAGATATCTCCTGAATATTTGGTTTATTATTAGATATCTCCTGAACATTTGTTTTATTATTAGATATTTCCTGAACATTGCTTTATAATTAGATATCTCCTGAACATTTGTTTATTATTATGATATCTCCTGAACATTTGTTTTATTATTAGATATTTCCTGAACATTGATTTATAATTAGATATCTCCTCAACATTTGGTTTAATATTATATATCTCCTGAACATTTGATTTATCATTATGATATCTCCTGAACATTGGTTTATTATTATGATATCTCCTGAATATTTGGTTTATTATTAGATATCTCCTGAACATTTGGTTTATTATTATATATCTTCTGAAAATTTGTTTTATTATTAGATATCTCCTGAACATTGGTTTATTATTAGATATCTCCTGAACATTGGTTTATTATTAGATATCTCCTGAACATTGGTTTATTATTAGATATCTCCTGAACATTGGTTTATTATTAGATATCTCCTGAACATTTGATTTATTATTAGATATCTCCTGAACTATGGTTTATAACTGAATATCATATCCCTTTTTCATCTAATAAATAGAAAAAGAGTAGAAGTTTGATGAAGTTTATAAAAATATCATGCACAAGCTTTTAATCTAAAGAGAACTAATTATTTTTTAAATGTTTTTTTTTATTTCTCAAAAAAACTATTCAAACTATTCACATGCACATTGTACAGTTTAATATTTTCCAAGGTCTAATCAAACTTAACTTTCTTCAAGGTCTTTCAAATAAAAGGTTTTACTTTTACCTTGATTTGTTTTTGGTTTCAAGGGACTTTAAGCGTATTTTCAAGTTACCCTCTATGCAAAGATGACAATGCCCGATTTACAACGGTACCCTTGTAACCTTAACCTTATCAAAAATGTTAAAAAGTGTTTAATTCTGATAATTTCTCCCTTTTCTTCTAACTGGTAAGAAATGCTCAAGTCACTTTTGCAGAAAAACCACAAATGAATATAAACAGTTTAAAGAAACAAAAAATGGATATCTATTTTATTCAGAAAATTTTTTTATTTGAAATTACAACTTCAGTCCTTTTAGGCAATATCTAATTAGGTTAGAATAGCCATTGTAATATTTAGATCATTTCTTCTGTAGAAAAAGAATTGAATTGTATTTATAAACTGTGTACAGCGCAATAAAATTACATTATTCAATACACTTCAAACAAAAGCTTAACAAATTGGACCATACACTGCATTGTGTAGTTATATTTTAAACTTTGTGTAAATATTTAACCAAAGAAAAGTATGAAAACGTCATTATTATTTTTTGTATATATAAGCATTAAGCAGTGAACAAGCAGTGCTTTATATACATTGTGAAATAGCTGATTTATGCGAACAATACACTTTATTTCCTCGTCTTTATTCCTTTTATAAGAATATTAGGCTGGGCGTACTTTCTGCAGTGATCGTATATTGGACAGCTGGAAAACAGTGTAAAAATGTATAATGTATATATATTCTTGTACTAAAGCACGATGACCCCAAGCTGATGTGAACAAAGCTAATCCAATTTTTAAAAAATTGATTAGTCGCCACAATCTCTGATTTCCTAGTCCCTTTATCTTTTCAAAATAGCCTTCTATTCTGATGTAAACCTATGATTTCTCAAATTTACCTATTTGATCTCACACAAGTCGTAGTTAAAAATTTCATTTCATGTTAGATTTTGCAGCGAGTAATCACTTCCTTTATAGTTAATTTTTCTACTGCTGCTGCATGCATTTCTGGCAAATTAAATCGTTAATTTGTTTATTTTTACTCCTTTAAAGGGACTTTTAGACGTACTTTTAAACCCATTTAAAGGGACTGTAGACGTACTTTTAAATCCATTTAAAGGAACTGTAGACGTACTTTTAAATCCATTTAAAGGAACTGCAGACGTACTTTTAAATCCATTTAAAGGAACTGTAGACGTACTTTTCAATTCATTTAAAGGAACTGCAGACGTACTTTTAAACCCATTTAAAGGGACTGTAGACCTACTTTTAAACCCATTTAAAGGAACTGTAGACGTGCTTTTAAACCCATTCAAAGGAACTGTAGACGTACTTTTAAACCCATTTGGACTGTAGACCTACTTTGAAACCCATTTAAAGGACCTTCCATTTATTAATGGGCATGTACGATTCAAAACAGTACCTAAACCTTTGTTTATATGAATGATATATTCTTCTGTTTCTAACTGAAAATTTATCATTTTCAATTGTGGTTTCTCTTTATAGTGACTTGCAGATTTATGCAGCAGAGATAATAGAGGAAATTGTGAATTTTTTCAAGGTATTAAAAAAAGGATTTTTTTCATTGTAACTTGCAGATAATGGTTTTAGGGTACTGTCGTAATCGAACATGCCATTATGGGTCAATCGAAATTTTGTATACAGTCCTCTTAAATTCCAGAACTTTTAATATCTGATGTCCTTTATTAGATTTGCATAAGTCTAAAATTAACCAAACAACTCACTTATCTTTCAAGTCCTCCAGCAAATGTTAATTTCTTTCAAAAGAAATTAATATTTTTATACTAAAATATTTTTTCAAAGATTCAAAATTAAATGCAATTTGTTAGCACATTTTTAACATACACACATTGCAGAAACTGTAGCAGATGAAGGTTGCCGTAAACTCTTGCAAAATATGTATGCTGATCACTTGCAAAACGGCCAAAGAGGGAGGCAAAACAGTGAAAATCATAATTCTCGATCAACTATGCAAATTTAAAACACTCTTGCAGGTTGCCACAGAGTTGCAAAAAGAACTTTTGCAGAACACAGTTTGCAGTTGCAGACCTTGTTATTGAAGGATGCTACGGCGTCCCGCTTCTCCTTATGCCTGTCTTCCCCCAGGGAGAGAAGTTTTTGCTTAACCTCCTCGTCATCCAGCTCCTCCCCCACACTACCCACCAGGTCCTCGTTCCCCTTCAAGATCCTCCTAGAGATAGACAAGGTTTAAACACACTGGACACATTTACCTCCTTATTCTTAGCGTCCAGGTACTCCTTCATCTCCTTAGCTTTCTTCTTATCCAGCTCCAGCCCTTGCTAGTTCAATCTTTAGGAAAAAAGTTCCCCAAAATATAATTTTCCTCCCCGTCCCTATTTACATTTTCCGAAACACAATTTTCCGAAAAATTTCATTGGTTATTTTATTTTTAGGGTAGCTGATCGATTTTTCAAATGGTTGATTGGCTGTTAAAAAATATAATATTGATAGTTTGAAAAATTTTCAAACTGAAATTTTTCCTGAAATATTGACTGAATATTTATTAAAATATTGCCAACTTTTATTGCTTTGCTGATTTATTGATTGATTAATTAATTGATTAATTAAATGATTTGACTAAAATATTGATTGATTGAACTAAACTGCTTCATGAATAGTTTCTTAGTCTCCGGTTCATCAAGATCATCAATATCTGCTTTCTCCTTTTTACTAAACAATCCTTCAACTTTAAACATTTGCAAATTATACTTTAATCAGTGATAACCAAAAAACTATGGATTAGGAAGACGACTTTTAGATTCAATATATGACTTAAAATAGGCCAATGAACATGTGACACCACAATTATGCGGTGTAAAAAAGCCCAATTGACCTAATAAGTGATTTAATGATTTACTAGAAAATAATATTTTCTTTGTAGCCACATCAGATACAATTTATTATTGATTTAATTGTCGTCTTCCTATTCTACTGTTTTCTGGTTATCACTGTAACTTAATTGATGAAGTTTAAATGTAACCATTAAGAGGCCGTCAACAGCGATTCGCTACGGTACCGTTTAAATATCTATTTGTTCTGCCTGAAGCTAGACAATCTGCTGGAAGCTTGGAATTCTTTGAAGTTTTGTAATTTAACTCTTGGGAAAAGTATTTAACACTTGTCTCACACTCTAACTTTCTATAGTTTCTAAACCTTCGAAACCTGATGGTGTAAACCTTCGAAACCTGATGGCGTAAACCTTTGATATTTCAACTTTGACAATTTGAAAGAGTATGCATAGTTTTGAAATATTTAAAGTCCACGAAATCAAGTTACAATTAGGTATAAGAATTAAAAATTTACAGCTTTAGGTAAGCGTTTAGAGGCCAAATTTAAAGAATTTAACATTTTTAGTTGCACTTGAAATTGTAATTTGTGTTTCAAGATTTGAGCCGGCGTTCCATTGGAACCGGTTTTGGCTGTTCAGTGACACGGTTTATATTCTCTAAATTCGGCCTTATGGTCCTTTTTTCTTAGTAAATATGATTTATGGGTAACCTTGGACGGAATATATTCTATCATAAAAAATATACATACGTTTGCTCCTGGTACATTTCATATTTTTTAGCTTGAAGTTTAATTCTCTCTTCTAGATGGAGTTTTTGATCTCGCTTCTGCATCAGAACCAAACCAGGACTAGGAAATTTTGAAACAATTAAGTAATACTCTATTAATCTATTAATTTATTAATTTATCGATCTAACAATTTTTTATTTACTTAATTTCTTTATTAATTACTTTACTTAACTTATTAATTTATTCATGGAGAGAGAATGGGAGGGGAGGCAGTAATCATGAGGCCCCCCCCCTCACATTGTTAATTTTTCGTGCTTTCCATTTTAATTATTGAAAAAAAAACTAAATTCTAGCTGATTTAAAAAAAGCTCAGACGACACGAATTCCGCCCCTGTTGTCAGTTTTCAATTTTCATAGAAACATACCTTGTTTGCTCCGCCTGAGCTATTTTTTGCTCTAAATCAATATATTCCTCTATGGTTTGTGCATCTACTGAGCCCTAAACAAATATATTCCTCTATGGTTTGTGCCTATACTGAGCTCTAAACCAATATATTCCTCTATAGTTTGTTCATCTACTGAGCTCTAAACAAATTTATTGCTCTATGGTGTGTTCTTCTACTGAGCAATAAATATAGTACTATATGATTTGTGTATCTTTAAACGCCTGAACAAAGTTAAAAACTATTTACTGATTTTTTCCTTTTTTTAACACACAAAAATGTTACCCCACACTTTCAGATGGAAATTGCTAATGGTGTGTTTTTAAACATTTAAGGTTTTACGATTTCAAGAGGATGCACTGTATAGTGTTTACTGAAATATTTATACTTGCAAAATTGTTAATGGTTAAATTGGTTAAATTGGTTAAACTGTTAAATTGGTTAAATTGGTTAAAGTGATTAAATTGTTTAAATTGGTTAAATTGGTTAAATTGGTTAAATTGGTTAAATTGGTTAAATTGTTTAAAGTGGTTAAAATTTCGCTTTGGTTATTATAACATTCCATTTTCAGTGCTGATAACTTCTGTGTGATGTATCCATAATCTGAAGCGTTTGATTTTGATATTCATTGTGGACAATTTAAAATGTGAAGATCCATGCTTCATTTTGTTATCCCTCAACTGCACGGAGTCTCGAAGATGAATTAAATTGAACCATAGATCTGCATGAGATCAGTATCGAGATTAACAATACAAAAGTTCTGACTTGAGTGTAATGGTTTGCACAATCTAACTTATTAGGAAGGAATACGATAAGAAATATGTTAAACAATGGATGTTCTTGTGTAGCAAAACAAGTCGAAAACCTTGAAATATGTTAAACAATTGAGGTTCTTGTGTAGCAGAACAAGTCTAAACCTTGAAATATATTAAACAATTGAGGTTCTCGTGTAGCAGAACAAGTCTAAAACCTTGAAATATGTTAAACAATGGAGGTCCTTGTGTAGCAGAACAAGTCTAAAACCTTGAAATATATTAAACAATGGAGGTCCTTGTGTAGCAGAACAAGTCTAAAACCTTGAAATATGTTAAACAATTGAGGTTCTCGTGTAGCAGAACAAGTCTAAAACCTTGAAATATATTAAACAATGGAGGTCCTTGTGTAGGAGAACAAGTCTAAAACCTTGAAATATATTAAACAATTGAGGTTCTCGTGTAGCAGAACAAGTCGAAAACCTTGAAATATATTAAACAATTGAGGTTCTCGTGTAGCAAAACAAGTCTAAACCTTGAAATATGTTAAACAATTGAGGTTCTCGTGTAGCAGAACAAGTCTAAAACCTTGAAATATATTAAACAATTGAGGTTCTCGTGTAGCAGAACAAGTCGAAAACCTTGAAATGTATTAAACAATTAAGGTTCTCGTGTAGCAGAACAAGTCTAAAACCTTGAAATATATTAAACAATTGAGGTTCTCGTGTAGCAGAACAAGTCTAAAACCTTGAAATATATTAAACAATGGAGGTCCTTGTGTAGCAGAACAAGTCTAAAACCTTGAAATATATTAATTAATTGAGGTTCTCGTGTAGCAAAACAAGTCTAAACCTTGAAATATGTTAAACAATTGAGGTTCTCGTGTAGCAGAACAAGTCTAAACCCTCGAAATAAAGGAAACAAAGGAAACTATGAATATCTCTACATTTCACCTAACCTACCAATTTTAGGGTAACAAACGTCCCCCGTCTAGTTTTCTTATATGACTCTATTTCCATTGTTTAATTGATTAATTTTACTTCGAAACTGACTGAACCTGACAAGCAAGTGTTTGTGACTACTCTAGAATGAGTCTAAGTGTCATGAAACATGAAGATATCCTCTAAAGATTAAAACACTGCATTATCGAATATTTTTATCTTCTGTCTAATGAAAAGGTATATTCTAGACTAAGAATTCATTGCTTCGATAAAAATTAAGAATGGTTGGCGGAAATGGGTTTAAATGATTTTGATAATAAAATAAAAACAATAGTAATGCTGAAAATAATGACCCTAATATTTCTTGTTATCAGTCAAAATCTTAAATGACAAAATATGCTAAAATCTAATCTGATTCTGCTAACACACAAGATTTTTTGTTTGTTAACAAAAAAAACAGTGTACTACAGTTTTTGGGAGAAAGGTCAGCATAGAAAAACTGCATTTGGTTATTTTCCTTACAGAATCTGCAGTACAATTTTGTAAACATGGCAATATGAGTATTTTGTAAACATGGCAATATGAGTAGAGTAGAGTAGAGGTATCAACACTACAATGGTCGACCAGATGACGTCTCCGACTGTGCGTACGAATTATCAATCTTTCAGATAAGATTTTAGCTTGAGATATCTCTCGGCCAAAAACTATATCGTCCACGAAAGTACGGGCTTTGTTCATACGTCGGTGAAAAAGAACGGCCTCCGGTATATTCATCTAATGCAATGGAGTATAACTAAGAAAATCAATTATTTTCAACGGAATTAAAAAAACAGAATGTCACATAAAAAAATTCTTGTGTTAATCGTCTAATGATTAATAAGTTCTTATATTATATTTTTTGAATAAATTATGCTGTGGAACATGCACCCGGTACTATTTTTATTTAATTTTTTACCAGTTCTTGCCCATTTGTATGGTTCGCCCATTCTTCTGAACTCTGATTACAGCCCATATTTTGGACTCTGTCAGTTTTCTTGGTCTGCTAATATTCAAATATAATCACATCCAGGCGGAAGTCTACATTTTCAAATATTCTGTATTCTAAAATATGCAAAAACAATAGTATCTCTGTTCCTTGCTTTATGCGGGAGGGGGGGGGGCGGGCATGCGGCCATGAGCCTAGCAATATCCTGCTCGAACCCAGGTATAGTTAGCAGAACCCTGCCCGAACCCCGCAGAATCTTTTTCGAACCCTGCAAAAGACTGTTAAAAAACTTTTATTGATAATTGACATTAAAAATTTATAATCTATTATCAATAATAGTTTTTTTTTTGCTGGAAAATATATAGATAGATTGATATAGATAGATATAATTATATAAATATATGGTCAAGGTTAAAGAAACCAGCGTTTACTATCAATCATAAAAATATATTTTTACCTGCAAATACACTACACTAGACACTTATAATACTATAGATATTCAACAATAGCAGATCAAACACTATTCACTTAATACTATAGATACTCAACAATAGCAGATCAAACACTAGACACCCAAACTATAGACACCAAACTATAGACAACAATCGAGACAACAAACAAACTCGAGGCAACGAACTCTAGACAACAAACTTGAGACAAGAAACAAACAAACTCTAGACAACAAACTCTAGACACAAAAAAATATACAACAAACAGTTGAGACCAAACAATAGTCACCAAGCAATACACAACAAACTTTAGAAAACAAACTCTAGACAATAAACTCTAGACAATAAACTCTAGACAACAAACTCTAGACATAAAACTATATACAACAAAATCTAGACATACAACTCTAGACAACAAACAATAGACACCAAATTCTAGGAACAAATACTAGACACCAAACAGTAAACACCAAACAATAAACTCCACACGTTTAGGACTGGGCATGTTTTAACTTTTTCAAGCTGTTTCATTAACGGTTAATTCCAACAGTGAAAAATACAATCTCAAGAAGCCGTTAGTTTGAGAAGGGTAAGAACGAAACTGGTTTTAAAAGTTACCAGTAGTAAACAATCTCAATTTTATTAAAAGCGTTAATGGAAATTTTTTAAGAGCTGATATAATCTCCAGCTGTTAACAATGCTAATATAAATTTAAGTATAAAGATAAACGAATATAAAGATAAGTGTGAAAGTCTTAGATAAAGATAGATTGCGCATAAGACGACATTTTTCATCTTAAAAGATGAAAAATAAATGTACAAAGATGTTTTAAAGATATTCCTATTGTATAGATTAACTAGGTCGGTTGTGAACATTGGCTGTTCTTATGTCATTGAGTACTTGTGGTGTACATGAGTTCTGTAGAGAGAAATTTAAGTTAGTTTAGTCCTTCTCATGTCCTTCTTCAGTTCTCGTCAGATATATTGCTCAGTGAAATATTGTTCAAATAGTTCCATTCCTATATTGTATAGATTAACTAGGTCGGTTGTAAACATTGGCTGTTCTTATGTCATTAGTACTTGTGGTGTACATGAGTTCTGTAGAGAGAAATTTAAGTTAGTTTAGTCCTTCTCATGTCCTTCTTCAGTTCTCGTCAGATATATTGCTTAGTGAAATATTGTTCAAATAGTTCCATTCCTGGAGTTATTTACACTCTATTATGAAATCCATTAAAACACCAAACCACCCCGCTTATCATTGAAGTACACTTTGACCCCTAGAAGTATGAGTTCGCGGACTGTACAATTCTTGGTGATTTTGTGTACATAAGCTATCTATGTTTATTTATTTATCTATGGTAAAAGTAAACCAACGTAAAGTTAAGTATATATAGATAAAAGATTAAGATTTAAGTATAAATAGATAAGCGAATATAAAGTTAAGTATTAAGATAAACGAATATAAAGTTAAGTATAAAGATAATCTAATAAAAGTATATTTAGATAAACGAATATAAAGTTAAGTATAAAGATAAAGGAAAATAAAGTTAAGTATAAAGATAAAGGAATATAAAGTTAAGTATATAGATAAAGGAATATAAAGTTAAGTATAAAGATAAAGGAATATAAAGTTAAGTAAATATAGATAAACGAATATAAAGATAAGTGTAAAAGTAAGCGAATATAAAGTTTAGTCTAAAGATAAACGAATTTAAAGTTAAGTTTAAAGATAAACGAATATTAAGTTAAGTATAACGATAAACCAATATAAAGTTAAGTATATAGATAAACGAATATCAAGTTAATAAAGATAAACGATTTACATTGTTAAGTATATATAGATAAACGAATATAAAGTTAAGTATAAAGATAAAGGAATATAAAGTTAAGTATAAAGATAAAGGAATATAAAGTCAAGTATATATAGATAAACGAATATAAAGTTAAGTATAAAGTCAAAGGAATATAAAGTTAAGTATAAAGATAAAGGAATATAAAGTTAAGTATATAGATAAACGAATATAAAGTTAAGTATAGAGTCAAAGGAATATAAAGTTAAGTATAAAGTCAAAGGAATATAAAGTTAAGTATATAGATAAACGAATATAAAGTTAAGTATAAAAATAAAGGAATATAAAGTTAAGTATAAAAATAAAGGAATATAAAGTTAAGTATATATAGATAAACCAATATAAAGTTAAGTATAAAGTCAAAGGAATATAAAGTATGGCGGTAAACGAGTCTGAATACAAACTACTCAATATTAGAGTCCACTGTTCCATAGTTCACATAGTAACCACGTAAACTTAAACCATTCAATATACTACCAAACTTCCCATCCACACACTTATATACGTACAACCCCCCCCTTTAACTATACTCTCCGTCTTTAATATTACCCCCCCCCCTGCATTCTTGATTAAATACTAGTTTTTATTTGATTTCAGCTGACTAGGTTGATACTTAATGGGCAAAGAAGAAACTGATTTAGATCACTGGGAAATGGCTTCAAACTTATGCAATAACCAGAAAATGGTCTTAAAATGATTCAGATTAAATTAAAATGCGTTAGATCTAATTCAGCTAATTAGAGACTAGTTTTGACTGATTCATCAGAGCAGAAACTGGTTTTAAATAAATAAAGAGAATTGATCAAACTATTGACATTTACAACTTTACGATTGTAAAGAACATGGAGATTTTTTAATTCAAAATTGTTCTACACATTTTTATATTCTAGTTGGGTCACCAGCGCTCAATAAATTAATAAAGATTACATTTGATGAAAATATTCATGAGAATACTAATTTTAACCTTTTTTTCTAGGATCGAACCAAGATCGGTGTAAAAGTCGTCGTCTTATGAACCATTATTTATTTTGAATTTGACGAAAATATCCCTTTTTATCATGTGCTAATTGAATTTACATAAAAATACCATGAGCTTAACAGGACGTACTTTAAAGCGAGTCTACATTTAAAGTGAGTCTAAATTTAAAGTCAACAGAGTGGTGTGTCAGATTCACAAGGGTTTCCATTAATTCATGAGATCATCAGTCACCATAAACTTTCGGTGCGTACTGTAGTAGAATCTAGTAAAGAGTGAGATATATCCATGCTTTTCTCTATAAAATTAATTATTCTCAAGTTTGGTTTTTCTAAGAATCGACTTGCGGCATGACATGGAAGAAATTGTTTGAAGCTAAAAAAACAACTATTTCTTCAATATTATTCATCAGATAAAGGTTTAAAAGGGTATCGGTGGGAAACTGTGCATGCCTCTCTTTTAATGGAAGTTTACGTGGATAATTCCTTTTCTGGCTGCAAAATAAGTACAGAATGGCAAAGTTATAGTGAAATTAACTCTATCCCGAGTTGAGGTAGTTTGATACATCATCACATGTCCCTAGTCCACCTATATGAAGCCAGCTTACAAAAAAGTTACACCTCTAACTTTACTGGTTAGGGTGCAAGGTAGGGTTTAATTCAGTTCAAAATGCAAATACAAAAAATGTTTTAAATAGCTTATTTTTACTTTAGACAAATATCAACATGTGGCCCATGTTATCGATTTTTCAATGTTTTTTCAAGTAAATTAATATTAAATTTGTAGCTTAATTAATAACAATTTATTTAGGGTTTTTTGATTTTACTTTTTTCAAACTGACCAGCCGATTAACCTTCCTCCATGCAAAAAATTGAAGTTGAGAAAGTAAATCAGTTTGAGCGTTCATAGTGTAAGCCGTTTTTTAAGTTGAAACGAAAAACACAGGGGTTGGGACACCCCCTCCCTATCTTGTTAGGGTTAAGAAGCAGAATACAATTTTTTTTTAATTTTCGAGCCTCTTTCTTTTTGTAAGTAAAAATATTTGTTGAAACCAACTAAACAAAAATAAATTAAAATTTTGTGTGGGACCTCATAATTACAAAAAATTGTCTCCGAAAAATGTTGATATTCGTAAATATGTTAAAAATCAATCCAAACTAAATTGTAAATCGGCAACATTTTTTCAATTCATCGAAGATAAAATGCTCTAAGATTAATCAACTATTAAAAGTTGAAATATAAGATGGGCGCGAAGCGTCTTGATTGACCAGTAAATTTCTATCCACTGAACGCTGCCGATCATATTTTGTCTTAAAGCTAAACATTACATTATTTATTGATTTATATGATTTTATTTTTTATTTTGATTAAAAAAATAATCTAATATTTTCCATTGTCAAGGAAACAGGGCTGATGGTTTAGTTTGGGTAAAGAGGACACCCTGAGTTCTCACAATCAGGAGGAGGGGTGTATGGAGGCCAGGTATATTTATACGGATCATTATCCTTGATTTTAGATAAAATATCAGGAGGGATCAAGGTCTTATAGTTCTCTGCATAGTAGTCCGACCCGACAACAGCAGTACTATCTTCGTTATCCTAAATAAACGATTATAAAAAAATAAAAAAATAAATGATTTAAAAACAATTTCTAATATAATATAATATATAAAATTTATTCGTATTTTTTTCCTTTATATGGATATCCACTCAAAAACTTATAATTTTTAATATTGACGTTCGCATTTCTTGCTTTAAAAACAATACAGAAATAAACAAAATTAAACACTTTTCATCCAGAAAAACTATTTTCACGTTCCTCTTTATTGATCAGATTAAAGTTTCAAGGTTGCCATTGGGAATCGAGCATGCCATTTTTAAATTGAGCTAGGGTACCTTAAAATTACAGTGACAGTAAAATCTATTTTTGTTTCTTAATTACATTACGAGTAACAAATGGTTATTCAATTATATTGTAAGACTATTGAAGTTTCTACGCAATTGTTTCAAATCTATGGAAGTGTAATTATTGACACCTTAGTTATCTTTTCTAACGGAATTTATTGTTTGAAATATCTAAGGTTTACGACATAGGGTTGAAAAGATATAGAGATCAGAAAATAAAAGTTTGTGGCAAAGACTAAATTCTTTTTATAATTATTTAGAGCACATGCTTCATATTAATTTTTGAGATCAGATTATCAATGAAAGCAATAACAATTACTCCTAATGAATGGTGGACCCGTTGAACTACATCAGGGAGTTCTTTATGATGTATTTTATACAAAGTTAATGTGGCCTAGCTGCATGTTGTATACATTGTTTTTAAATTCAATTTTGAAATCGTGGAAACATTGCAGTCTATATAATAAAGCTCTTTGCTCATATAGATATACATATTTGTATTTTTGTGTATATGTTAGCTATATGCAGGCCAAACAGCTGGACAGAATTGGCTGACTTTTTTTTTGAGTTAACCCGTGGGGTAACATAGGTTAAAAAATTCGATTTGTTTTCAAAAATCAATTTTTATTTTCAAAATTCGACCCCAAGCACTTGAGCTAGTTTTGTTTATAATATACTCTCTGATGCAGTCTATGGTGGGAACTATCATGAAATCCTCCATGATGTCTCCTTGAAGGTCGAGCAAGTGTCCGAATTTAATGAATTTGAGCCGCGTCTTAAATCCACCCAAAACCTGATTTCAATTGAGCGCCGGCTTAAATCTTGAAACATTGAATACAATTTTAAGTGGAACCTACCATGTTTGAGCCGTGTCTCAAATTTAAGCCGCGGCTTAAATTCTTTAAATTTGGTCTCAGTTCGAATTTAGGTTTTGAATTCCTGTTAAAAATTCGGGTGCATAATACGTACTAAAACTCTTGAATGAAACGTCTTTTTTTAATTCTACACAAAAAAAGTCAAATGGAGTTTTCTCAAAAAGGTTTGAGCAAAAAATATAAATCAAAATAGCGAATAAAATATTTTTACACAAACATATTTTTGCACTATAAAGGACGAATTTAAGCATCTAATTTTAGTAAAAATATCAACACTATCCGGCGATTAGGCTGTTTTTGTCTAATATCGGTTCCTATATTATTAAAAAACTAAAATTGATTATTTAAATTTTCCAATCAATATAGGGTTGAAATCACAATAAAAGCAAACCTTAGTTTCAATCAAGTACATCTTAGGTTTTGGTTCAGGTACTGCAAACACAGAACATGACAACAACAAACAAAAAACTGGTTTTATGTAAAACATGCTTTCTGGAGTAAACACCTTAGTTCAGTCTGAAATATCAAGTTTCACTAAGCTAAGCAGGACAATCTGTCACATAAAACCTTGTTAAAAATCGAAATATCTTTATTTTTATTATTATCACTTTATTTAAATAACTGTAAAGCTAATTCTATAAAATGTTTGAAATTAGATATAGAACTAATTAAGTATTTGTCATTTGATCCAGCTTTTAGATTTAATTCTATAAATAAAATAATGATTGAACTGGGCTTTCTCCTTTTTCAGCTTTGAACGAAAGGTCGCCATTTTTAAGCATTCCCAGATTTTTGAGAATCTGTTTCTATTACAAATAAATTCGGACAATTTTTCCGGGGACAATTTTCAACTTTGACCATCTATATAAACCTGCCCCGGAGTCATATGATTTGCCTAAACAAATTTTGAGCTTGATCAGTTCGGCCGTAATAAAACAAGACATTCGTATATATATATATATATGTTGGGTATAGCCGGCAAAACAGATGGACCGATTGGGTTGAAATTTTTTTGTGGACACTCAGGTGTGACCGGGGGTGTTATAGGCTATAAACAAATTTTTTCAAAATATTTTTTTCAATTTTTTTCACGGGCAACGCCGGACTCTTCAGCTAGTCGATATTAAATGTAATTGGTATTAATAAGTTTTTGTTCCTTTCGATCAAGGTAATCGTTATAAAAATGTTTATAAATCTTTTTATAAAAATGTTTACAAAAAACACTATTGTTATTTGTTAACTATCCCTGTTCTGCATATTTGATGGAATTTAAACTATTTAGAATAAAATTATAATTAAACTGACAACACTTTTTTATTTTGTTTATTTTTTCAAAATTATATTCTATTTCTGTGTCAGTTATTTTGAGTTTGATTTCTTTTTCACAAATAACTGTCTAAAGTGACGTCTTAAAGCTTGAGGGTCAGGCTTAAATCTGAAATATAAAAATATTAAAAATTAATAATTAATTAAAGTGGAAAGTATATTGAAAAATATAAAAAAAATTAGATTTTAAATATATTACTTTTTGTGAAATTTGTTTGCGTGGAGTTCTTTTCTAGGATTTGTTAAATTTAGGTTGACTGAATAGTTGCCATCAACATCTACCAACAAGGAGTTGAATTCTACTGAAGATGTCCCGGTTTCACGTTTGATTCTATTCATTTCTGAATTAGAGTCTCGTTTGTTACTTTTCTGCTTGACCTCATCTTCTTCCCTCTTGATATTTTTACCCCCAAGTGCAATGGAATAACTTTCATCAGTGTCCGTTTCCATTTTGTAATCTTCTTCTTCATCTTCTTCATCTTCTTCATCTTCTTCATGTTCTTCTTCTTCATCTTCTTCATCAGCAATCATATTTTTAGTTTCTTTATCCAGCTGATTTTCATCAGTTTTAGGTTCCATTTTCATAATAAATCCAGGTTTACTTTTCAGTTCTGTTATTTCCTCGTTTTTAGAACTTAAAATAGAATATTGATTAAAGGGACTGTAAGCATAATTTAAAGTGACCTTTTGCAAATTTTGCAAGGCCCGAATCACAACAGTACCCTTGAAACCTTAATCTGATAAAAAATGTGGAAGATACCGTCGTTTTTCCGACTCAAAAAGTGTTAAATTCTAATATAATTTCTCCAATACTTCCCATAAGCAAGAAATGCGCTTTAGTAGAGAAAAACGGAAATGAAAAGAAACAGTTTAAAAAAAATGGAAATCTAATTCCTACTTGATTAGAAAAATATCTAATTCCTACTTGATTAGATAAATATCTAATTCCTACTTGATTAGATAAATATCTAATTCCTACTTGATTAGATAAATATCTAATTCCTACTTGATTAGAAAAATATCTAATTCCTACTTGATTAGATATAAATTTGGTCTCAGTTCGAATTTAGGTTTTGAATTCCTGTTAAAAATTCGGGTGCATAATACGTACTAAAACTCTTGAATGAAACGTCTTTTTCNTTGATTAGATAAATATCTAATTTATACTTGATTAGATAAAGCTTACAAGGGTAATGATGTAAATCTCTGTAAATCGTCTATCAGCTAGGCAAATCTCATGATAAAACTGATTTTGATTCTTAACTTTGCAATTTTTCCACGGACATAATTAAAACTAGTTATTTTTTAACTCCATTTACAAATTATACATTTTTGAAAAGCCCTTGACCCAGTGAATTCAAATCTACAAAAACATTCTCAAAATTTTTAAAATGAGTATTCAAGAAAAGCTGAAAATGTGCAAATTCCCTTTATAGGCGTCTGTGTAAAAATCTGTGCAAAATTTCGTTGCAAAAATTATGCAATCCGGTTGCTTTTGTTATCGGCTTTTCAAAGAGTTATATATGATATCGAATTACTAGAAGTAGGTCTAAAGCAGATTTTTTGACCCCCCCCCCCCCGTCAAGGTAAATCTATCTAAGTTAAAAAAATAATTATAACTATAAGTGTAGTGCTTAAAATAAACCTGGGCCCGTTTAATGCTTACCGCTGTTTCAAATTTAAATCACCGATTCTAATCCTTTCTAAAAGTTTAACTTGAAATCAGTGGTTCAAATTTGAACCGGCAGTAGGCAGTTCAGCAACGTAGCCTTAATTCATTAAATTCGGTCCCATGCCACAATAAACTAAACCATATGCTGTAGAAGTTTTCAAAAGTAAATTTTGAAATTCAATAGTTTTCTGGCAGGCGTTGAGATTGCTTGAGAGACATTAGACCTTACTTCAAATGAGTCTCTATTTCTATTTCTAGTTCTGTCTGATTCACTATTTAAACCTCGTGCTTTATTTGATTGAGGACGGGCTACTGTATTTAAACTGAATTGCGGATTTATGCTGCAGAAACAATTTACAAGTTTTAAGATCTCAACATGTAAAAGATAAAAAGACGATATCTTCCTCCTTGCTACTTAGTGAGAGGTTTAAAGGGTATCACCATTGTGAAGAAGACATACCGCTCATCTTTAAATTAAAGATCTTTTGCAATTACGTCAAAATGTCTTTCCATTTAAATTGCACAATGCGGTACCTTTTTGGACTGTCAAGACAGGCGTATTTTAATTTAGCAAACAACACATCTTTTTGACTGCTGACATAGAGTCCAAGTTGTCCTCCAAGAATAGGTTCTGGGTCCTAAAATCTTCCGAAATGATATCAAAATGGAATTCAAAATGTGCATTTAAATTTCAGAAAGCTGCTTGATTCCATAATTTTTTTTTGTATAATTTCTAAATAAAAAATTTGTTACCAAAACATCACCAGAATCTAGCACTTTGACTCCATTCTCAAACATTTTTAATCGTATTAGACCCTAAACAATTAACAATGTCGTAGACCTTTGATATTTCAAAATATGAGTTCTGTTAAATCAAATAATCTAAGAAAAAATCAAAGGTTCACTTTGGAAGCTTTGAGTTTGTGGGGAAAACCTATAACCTTTACACTAATTTTTGAATAAAAAAATGTAACCTTTGAAGGTATATGTTTTATAGTCCATTGCATGGATTTCCTTGTTTTCCACTGTTGTTTCTCAGGATCCTAAATATTTACCGAAATAGCTTTTAATTAAACTTATCCCGAGATGGAATTTAAAGAATTTGAGCCGCGGTTTAAATCTGCCAAAACCCGGTTTAAATTAAGCGCCGGCTTAAATCTAAACAATTTGATACAACTTTAAGTGGAACCAACCATATTTAAACCGCGGCTTAAATTTAAACCGCCGCTCAAATTCTTTAAATTCGGCCACAGGTCCAGTAAACTAAAGTAAATTGCACAACAAATTGAAATTTTATATGCTTTAATTCCTAATTTCTCTTGCTGTAGAAAGAGATGGGCAATAGCTAGATTCGTTTTAAAATTTTTAAACTTTTTAAAGGTTTAACGATAGTCTGAGAATTTGTTATTCTAGGAGAAAAACAAACCAAAGAATATCGTTAAAAAACCGCAAAAACGATATTTTTAAAACGATCGTTTTTGCCTTTATTTTCATCTAGGGTAACACGTTCGCATGTTTGATAAAAGCAAACTTCTACAGAATAAAGTTCTAACATGTTGGAACCTTCTTATATAGTCGAACAACTTTTTAAAAGTCTGAAAACATTAAAAGTTTCTGTAAAATGAATCTGACTATTTTCAATTCCTAGTTGCTCATACTTTAGCGTAAAATCAAAACTATACAGGTGTGCCACGTGGTCACAAAGTTGTTCCAGCAATATCTCATGAATTCGACATTCTCCTTCTTTCTAGTTTTTAGTACAGATTGGCTTTTTGCAAAAAGATTCTATAGTACAATAGATGGCAACGTAAAATTTGTACACTCTCAGTACAGATGTATTCTGACGTCACAAGTGTCAATTCAGTTTTTGTTTCCAACAAAATTATTAATAATAGTGATATTTTTAGAATAAAGTGTTTATCTTACAGTAAAATAAGTGCAATATAATGTGTTCTTTAGTTTCTGTTTTTACACTTTTTTATTTAATCTTTGAAAACATGTCAACTAATGTGAGGCAATTTCGTTTTCCTTGTTAAATTTGACACTTGTGACGTTGTGTATAATTGGTTCATTTCTATGTTGCCCCCTATCGTACTTGATAATTTTTTTTTTGTATTTTAAAGGATCGCAACCCCTTAGACTGGCCCAAATTTTTTTTAATTAAAAAAACTTATTGAGAGGGTTGGTTCCCTGAATCAGACAGTCAAATTCGAACTGTAAACTTTGTATGTCGACATAATTTAATGTACCCCTTCTGTAATATGCATATCTTTCAAACAAACATTTCTGGATTTTTAACCTAGAAGAATTTCTTTTTTGTAAATAAGATTATATTGTAATTGAATTATTTCCAGGGGGAATAAAAGATACAAACATTAAAATATTTTATAAAAGACAAACTTAAAAGAAAAACATGAAAATCGCCAGAAATCATTTTTTACTTATTTATTTTGTTTTTCTTTATATTGTTGTCGGAGTAAAGTTAATTATAAATGCCATGAAAAATCAGGTGTTTAAAAATATTTTAAACAAGTAATTTTTCTCACTTTTAGTCTTTTGTAGATCAGCATTAGTATTACTTTTCTTAAGTTCGTAAACAAGTATGAGTTTATACCTCCCAAAGGTTCTTTGAAACCCCTTTACGAGATTTCTGCTTTTTTAGAGATCCCATTAATAGTTGAAAGGCTTTAGTCGCATTTTCCGAGTCCTTCACTTGAATTTTTTTAATCGTCCACCACACTAAATATTAAAGCAATGTTCAAAACACAACAAAAATGATTAATTTATTCTATTTTCTTTAAAATTTAAGTATGCAAAAGTTTTACACTATCAGGTTGCATAGACATAGAGATAAGAAATTTGTGTTAGTGGCGAGAGTTCAATTACTTTGTAATAGGTGGTCAACTTAATGTTGCAAAGATTAGGGATTAGAAAATTAGAATTTGTGGTGAGTATTCAGTTTCTTTAACTATTTTTAGGCAGTATGTTGAAATGTTAATTGTAGAATTCATTTCAAACATTTCGCTAGCTAGCTGGCTGTTTTCATGTTTATTTCTAACACGCAAACAAGGAAGACAATAATGAATGTAAAATTTTACTTACTTGCATTGGTTTTCTGAATGTTCAACAAAATGTCTTAAATATTTCCTATTTTAAGTACATGCATTTTTAATTGTGTGCACTGTGTAGAAAAATATCTTTTTTAAGATATATTATATACAGGCTACTGAGTAAGAATATGCCTTGATATTTCAACCCTAAAGAAGCACTTAGCTTTTTGAAGTAATACCACTTACTAACTGTGGTTTAAAAATAAACAGACAATTTTTATTTTGATTAAAGTAAAATCTTAGAATATTGAATCCTGCCATTTCACCAGTTGCTCTGTAACTTTCTTTTTTAACAAATCCACATATTGCGTTTAGTTTTGCATTGGCGTTTAGTTTAGTCAAAAGTTTTTGAATTAAAAATAGCATGTTTTAGGTTTAATGCGAAATTAATTTCCGAAAATTGGTAATCTGTAATTAGTTCTTAATCTTTTAAAACAAATATTTAAGAAATTTTCCTGTCCGGCTGCTTCGAATGACTGGGTTTGCATTTTAAATTGAGTTATTTAAATATGGACAAAAATAAGAAATTTTGAGATTTTGATAAAATAATATATTTTGCAAACCCAGTTTCCTTTCTTGTGTTTGTTGGATATGACAACATAGAAGCTAAAGACATTCCGAAATCCAAAAACAACCCCTAACTACAATCTTATCAATTTTAAATTTTTGTTATTTTTTTAAATTATGAAATTATAAAGAATGTTTTTACCCAATCATTATCTGATTTATCCTGAACATAATATGTTCCATTGTATTCAACATCTTCAAAAACTAGATCTTTTATCACAGCAAGCGAGGGCTAAATTAAACATTGTTCACGTTTTAAAACAACCATCTTTATCCCGCTGAAAGGCTACTTAATTATCCTGGCAAACTACATATTATCTTGGTCTTCAACTTTATTATCCTGGTCTACTACTTTATTATCCTGGTCTACAACTTTATTATCCTGGTCTACTACTTTATTATCCTGGTCACCTACTTTAGTTTCCTGGTCTACGACTTTATTATCCTGCCCAGCTACTTTATATCCTACCAGGCTACTTTATTATTCTGCCCGCAGCTAGTTAATTATCCTAGCTGCCCGGCTACTTTATTGACCTGGCCAACCACTTTATTACCTTGGTCGACTACTTTATTATCCTGCCCGGCTACTTTATTATCATGGCTGAAAACTTTATTATCCTGGTCGATAACTTTATCATCCTGGCCGTGTACTTTATTATCCTGGTATACTACTTTATTATCCTGGTCTACTACTTTATTATCCTGGTCTACTACTTTATTATCCTGGTCTACTTCTTTACTATCCTGGTCTACTACTTTATTATCCTAGTCAACTACTTTACTATACTGGTCGAATACTTTTTATCCTGCAATGAGTAAGCTAAAACTCGTTTAAACATTAAAATCATAAAATAATTTGTTGTAATTTGAAGATTTTAAATATTAAAGTTCTGCTAGCTAGAACGTACTAGGGTTTCCAACGAATAAAAACTTTCGCGAAAATATGCAAAATTGCACAAAAATTTTCTTTCGTATTTTGCCAACTTTTTCGCGAAAATCAATTTTTCAAAAGAATGCAAAGCCATGTGGATCGCGGAATTTCGAGAGAAAAAAATGTGCATGCGACAATCTGTTTCGCGAAATAATGCGGAATTTCCCGAAAAAACCCCAAATTTCGCGTTTTTCCTTTTATTCGCGTTTTCTTCTGCGATCTAAATGTGAAAAAATGTTAAATAATCGGCGAAAAAAGAATTTCCCATTTTCCTGGAAACCCTAAGTTAACATTAAAATTTGTTTACCCTACTGTTTAATGCTTGGTAAAGCTCTGTTCCATTTTTTCTGTCTTCCCATTCAGGATTCGGCTTCTGACAGACAAGAAGTCCCGAGAACCCTCAATATTAGATTTTAAAGGATTTAAGAAATTATCAATTTATAATAAATTGTGCCTTTTGTAATGGAAATATTTACTAAGGAAATATGCTGAATACTGTGGCTCCATGTACATATGGGGGGGGGAGTCCCCTGGAAATTTGGGGCACAATTAGAAAGAGGGGCCGCAGCAATTTTAATAGATTTTCAAGAATGGGTTTTAAAAAGTTAATATTCTCTTTCACGTAGACATGAAAGGGGGAGGGCAGTTTCCCCTCCCCTCCCTCCCCCAAAGTGCCCCTGAAAAAAATTTATAAGAACTTCGGAAGAAGCTTGGAACATATTTATTAATATTTTTAAAAATATTAACATTTGACACATGTAATTACATCCATTTTTTAAGAGGCTTTGCAAATTAATAAAATTTAGACTGCAGCAATTAAAATTGAAAAAGTAAAGTGTAGTGTAAGCCTTTTTTAAGTTATGAAGAAAAAACCACAGAGGGGGAAACACCCCTCCGCCCCCCCCCGCAATAGGATTAAAGAAATCAATTTGAATAAAGTGTACATTCCCTTTATTAATAGTTTACCTGCCGCCTCTGAAGCAAGGCATAAATTGATTTTCTTCATTGACCTTGGAGATATAAATATAAATCCTGAACTTTATATATAACGTATTCAATATTTAACATATATATATATATACAAATATATGTAACTGTATATATATAGCGTATTCAATATTTAATGTATATATACCAATATATATATTACTGTAGAGTGTAGATATATATATACATATCAAAATAATTATTTTATTAAAAAGTTTTAAATTAATTATAAAACCTACTTTTTATAGAAGTCCACCTTTTCAATTTCTGGATTAAAAGGGCAGACGTCTAAGTAGTCCGGAGTTCCATCTCCATCTCTAGTTTTCAACATTATTCATCAGTTTCAACAATTTTTATTAGTTTTCAATAATATTCTTTAGTTTATAACAATATTCTTTAGAGTTTAACAATATTTATTAGTTTTCAACAATTTTTATAAATTTTCAACAAAATTCAAATTGGTTTAAATAAATTTCAATATTTTTCAACAATATTCATTAGTTTTCAACAATATTCATTAGTTTTAAACAATATTCATTAGTTTTCAACAATATAAATTAGTTTTCAACAATATTCATTAGTTTTCAACAATATTCATTAGTTTTCAACAATATAAATTAGTTTTCAACAATATTCATTAGTTTTCAACAATATAAATTAGTTTTCAACAATATTCATTAGTTTTTAATCATTTTCATTAGTTTTTAGCAATATTTATTAGTTTTCAACCATTTTCATTAGTTTTTAGCAATATTTATTAGTTTCCACACTATTTATTAGTTTTCAAAAATATTCATTAGTTTTCAACACTATTTATTATTTTTTTAGCAATATTTATTAGTTTTCAACACTATTTATTAGTTTCCAACCATTTTCATTAGTTTTTAGTAATATTTATTTGTTTTCAACACTATTTATTAGTTTTCAACACTATTTATTAGTTTTAACATCATTCACAATTATTTTTAAACATTTTTCTAAGTTTTCAACAAAGAAATTGAGTCTTTTTCACAAACTCAGGATTGTTTTCTAATCCCTTTATCTTTGCAATTGAAATCCAATACCGTAAACCATAGATATTTCAAACTAAGAGTTCTGTTAGATCAATATAAATTAAGTTAGAAATAGCAGGTTCCAAAGATAAAAGGATTCGAACACTTGAATTTGTGGCAAAGATTCAATTCATTTCTTAAGTTTATCTTCAATTTTTCAGTCTTAAAAATATTTTCGAAAATGAAACCTGTCTCTATAGCAGACATCTCCTACACTTGGGTCATTCAAGGATGGAGTCTACATAATGCAGCTTTATATAAAATGAAAATGGGACGCGGGAACGTCCCAATCCCCCCCCCCAAAGTTGAAAAATTTTATCCCGCATGAAGTTTGCTTTTAAACATTAGAATGTGAAACATACTTTAAGATCAGTTTTTAAGGCTTTTCTAATAATTAGATAAGGATAATATTACGCTTAAGTTTCGTCCTATTATAAAAAGTAAACTATGTTATATAATATTCTTAAACTTGAGTTTAACTAAGACTGTAGAATAAATAAAATTCTTTACTAAAAGGAATATTATATTGTATTATATTATATTATATTCATGTGGATGTAAATAATTAATACATGAGCATAATAAATCATGTGCAATGTAAATGTTTTACAAATACTAGGAATGAAAATTCCTAGTATTTGTAAAATTCCTGAACTATAGACTTGTGAGAATCCGACAAGGTCTACAGTCTACTGTATGTAATACAGGGGAAGGTCTACCCCACATTCTACTGTATGTAATACAGGGGAAGGTCTACCCTTCAGTCTACTGTATGTAATACAGGGGAAGGTCTACCCCACAGTCTACTGTATGTAATACAGGGGCAGGTCTACCCTACAGTCTAGTGTATGTAATACAGGGGAAAGTCTACCCTTCTGTCTACTGTATGTAATACAGGGGAAGGTCTACCCTTCAGTCTACTGTATGTAATACAGGGGAAGGTCTACCCTACTGTCTACTGTATTTAATACAGGGGAAGGTCTACCCTACTGTCTACTGTATTTAATACAGGGGAAGGTCTACCCTTCAGTCTACTGTATGTAATACAGGGGAAGGTCTACCCTACTGTCTACAGTATGTAATACAGGGGAAGGTCTATCCTTCAGTCTACTGTATGTAATACAGGGGAAGGTCTACCCTACAGTCTACTGTATGTAATACAGGGGAAGGTCTACCCTACAGTTTACTGTATGTTATACAGGGGACTTCAAAAATACTAAGATCTCTACTGCAAATACAACTGCAGTCCAAAGAGTCATGAAAACAGTTTAAAATGTGGTTGTACGTTTAACCTGTTCTGGGTTTGGAACTAATGGACAATTATCTTCCTCATTTATTATACCATCACCATCTTTATCAGGATCGCAGGCATCTCCTAAACCTGGTACACAACTTAATGAATTTGAGCAACATCGTTGAGCTACCTATTGCCGGTTCAAATTTAAACCACTTATTTACAGTTGAATAGTCAAGAAGGGTTTAAATCGGTAATTTAAATTTGAACCGGGGGGGGGGGGGGGGGGGGGGGGACGGGAAGGCGGTTCAGCGATCCCTCAAATTCATTAAATTAGGTCCCTTGAGAACAAAATATAGAAGTCGAGATCCTTAAACCCAAACTCTTACTAATCTAGGCATCGGACAGGGTCCTAAAATTAGGTGGGATCCACGTGAAACTAACTTCAACGAATTGCATCCTGTTTGAATCGGTATATTTTTGTCTGATTTTGATCTCTGATTTAAACTCCATCATCAATAGCGAAAGAGATTAGTCATATCCCACCAACAAAGTATTATACTGTAAGAAATCTATAACTTTTATTCGAACTTAATTATCAAGTGCTAGTTCAACTATCCTTCCCGTTTATTCTATTACAACTATGTGATCTTCTACTTATACTAGAAATAAATTCTGGTTCTAAACTAAAAGTTCTGGTCTCAAATATACATGTTAAAAGAACAGAGATTATTTTATTTCTTTGAACCTGAATCAATAAACAAAACCTTAATACTAAGTACGAGAAAAATACATGAATACGAGCCTTCCCGAGTAAAAGTACTAATAGCCAGAATGTTCTTTTCAATCAATTTTAAACAAAATAATACGAATCACAAAATTAAAATACAAGTTAGAATATGGGAGAATGAGGATTCAGTCTCGTACAATACAGCTGATACAAAAAAAATCTACATTACAGCGGTAAAAATTGGTTGAAAAGTTGAAACTTTTCAGGAATTAAAGAAAGGACCTCTAGTTCACCGTGGATCGATATGGTCAATATTGGACCGGGCCTGGTATTGATGCAAATGTTATTTTACAATAACTGGGAGCTCATAATTAACTATAATACAGACGGAGGGAGGGGGGGGGGGTCCAGCAAAGAAAAGGTTAAGATCTTACCGTCTTTATCACTATCTAATTGATTCACATTTGCAATACTCAGACAGTTGTCTTCTTTAAATATCCCATCCCTAATATATTTATGTTTTGAATATTATAGTATGTATATTAATATTTATATGTTAACTATAGCTGACCAAACAGTTGAACAAAATTGGCTGACATTTTTTGGGGAAACCTATGGGTACCCTGGAGGTAAAAGAGACGAAAATGTTAGACATTATTTTTCTTCAAAATTCAAATTTTTTGATCGATTTTTTTAATTCCTTTGGAAACGTCGAGCACATCAGAAGTTACAAATCATTCAAAATAATAAAATTATATAGATTTTCTCATGTTTACCCATCTTCATCATCTCCAGTCTCACATTCATCACCAATATCGTTTTGATTAATATCAGTCTAGAGTATTAGATATAAAGGGACTGTTCTTGTGATTTCAAGTGACCCTCGAATAAAAAAAGAGAAGCACACGAGCGGGGGAAGGAAGGCACCATTGTTAATCGGACATTGCCAGCTCTGTAAATAGGGTTCACTTGAAACTACGTCATATACGGACTTGAAACTATAACGTCATATGCAAACTTTTAAGAAAGACAAAATTCTTGAAACTTTAAAACAAATCACATGTAATGGTTTACAAAAAAACAAACATTTTAAACAACTTCCTACAATTACGTATATCAAACAGATTAATGTTATAGTTGGTAGAATTTTACTGCAGTTTTTGTTGTTATTAAAAAATGCTGAAGATAAAAAGATAAGTTTATTGAATAAATATAAAATGATCCTACTTGGTTTTTGTTACTAAACTTGACGCAATTATCGCAAATATCTCCAACTCCATCACCATCTTCGTCTTTCTTAAAATATACAATTTTTCGAGATAAAAGGATTTATGTATAAACGAGGAATGACTGAACTCATGTTCAAGATATTTATCAATGTCTATATCAAGGGATTGTTTTGATACAAGTATTGAACTCATGTTCAAGATATTTATCAATGTCTAATTCAAGGGAACTCATGTTCAAGATACAGGGTTACCCACAAAGAATGAAACTTTAGTGATTCCTAAACATAATGGGTGCAATGGGATTAAATAGTGTATTATGTAAGCATATTTCAATTTTTTTAAAAATCCGACATGATAAAAATCCTCTGTTCAAAATTCGCCTGAAGTTTAAATCAATCCATATTTGAGGGTTCTGATATTTACAATGAAAGGAGTGTGCAAATAATGTTTTGAGAGTTCTGTCAAAAAATCAGAGGCCAAATTTTTAAGAATTTGAAACTTTGATCAGTGTTTCGAGATTTGAGCTAGTGCGAAATTTGAACTGGCGCGGTGGTTTATGGTTTAAATTTATTAAATTCGGTAATATTTTTTTGTGGAATTAAAATTTTCAGAGGTCGAAAACTTTTGGAGTAGGTATCAACTAGTAATAACTAGTTGAACTATGTATGGCTAGCTGAACTAGCTTTTACTACTTGAACTAGCTATAACTTATTGAAAGTATACAAGGTAGAGCTAGCTAAACCTCCAGTGTAGTAAACCTATATACCTGCTCAGGATTAGGATCAAAGGGACAGTTATCCTAAATTATAAAATTTATCTGATTACTACAAATTATTCAGTTTTTGTCACGAACTCAAATTTTCTAACACCAGTCCGCGATTTAAAAATTCGGGAAAATACGGCTCAGGTCTCAGCTGTCATTGGGCCGTATTTACGGCTTGAGCTTTCGGATTCAAGCTGCATTTTATTTTCAGCAGAGTTCAGTTCAAAAAATCAGTTTAATATTCTATTTTGCGGATTTTCATGGTAGGAATTGGCGCATTCCGGGTTCTTATGAGAACAAGACTCAACATTGAGCCTTATTCTCTACTAAAACCAACCAAGGTCGGTTTTATTTTCATTGGAACAAACTCCTTAAAGGGACCGTTCACTTTTTCTGAACGAAAAATCGGCTTTTTCTCCGGCCACAGTTGTCTTTGAAAAGTAAGACTATTACCAATGAATAGCGCATAGGCTGTTTAGTTTACCCTGAAATTACCCAAAAAAGTGAACGGTCCCTTTAAGGAGTTTGTTCCAATGAAAATAAAACCGACCTTGGTTGGTTTTATTTTGTCGAGCTGTTAATCACGTGACACAAGCTGTCGTCAGATGTTGGGTCGAAGATTTGGTTTTAAAGTCGGGGTTCTAGGAATTACGGCTCGATTCGAAGTTTTTAAATCGCGGGCTATGAAGGACTAAAACCTTTGATATTTCAAATTTAGATTTTTTGATCCAACAGAGGGCGAATTTAAAGAATTTTAGCCGCGGTTTAAATTTTAGTGGTTCCACTTAAATTTTTATTAAAATTTTTCAAGATTTAAGCCAGTACATTGAAACCGGGTTTTGGGGGATTTGAGACGCGTCTTAAATTCATTAAATTCGGACACATAATTCATATTTTGAAATATGATTAGAATTTGTTAAAAAAGAAAACTATGAAATGTGTTTTTTTTGCTTTTTAATTGTTTCCAATTATACGATAATACTACACTTACAGGTTTATTCAGGATTCCATCATTATCATAATCTTCATCACATTTATCCCCCTTCCCATCATCATCAGAGTCCTAGACAAACAGTTGTTTGGCCCATCATCATTCAAAGGGGAGGGGGGTGGGGGTATGGATGTAATTTCATTTTTCTGCATTTTCAATCTCAAAATCTACTTGCCCAAATCGCCATGGTTAAAAATTAGTTAAGCTTTTTAAAAAGTTTTAATGTCTAGGATAATTACAAAAAAGTATATAAGTATAATTACTTTTTGAAAAGGATTGAATTTAGTTGGACAGTTGTCACAAGCATCTCCGACCAGATCTTGGTCCTGATCTTCCTGGTTTGGGTTGGATACTTTGGGACAATTATCCGGGGACTCCTAGATATAGAAAAGTTTGGGTTGGATACTTTGGGACAATTATCCGGGGACTCCTAGATATAGAAAGGTTTGGTTTGGATACTTTGGGACAATTTTCCGGGGACTCCTAAGATGGAATTTAAAGAATTTGAGCCGCGGTTTAAATCCGCCAAAACCCGGTTTAAATTTAGTGCCGGCTTAATTCTTGAAACCTTTGAAACCTCACAATTTTAAGTGGAACCAACCATATTTGAGCCGCGGCTTAAATTTAAACCGCCGCTCAAATTCTTTAAATTCGGCCACTGGATATAGAAAGGTTGGAGTTGGATACTTTGGGACAATTATCCGGGTACTCCCTGACTTAAAAACCGTTCTATTTTTTGTTGTTTTTTTTTTACTTTTTTTGTTTAGTATAGTACATTAACCCCCTACGTTGTATTTTTGATCGATAAAATATATCTTGATTGAGTTTATTCCTGTGAATATCTTTAATCCCTTCATTTGATTGGTTGAACAGCACCACTTCCATTGATTCGCTTAACAGAATAGCCTTAGCTCGACCTTCCTTTGATTGTTTGAACAGAATAGCTTTAACCCCTTCCTTTGATAGGTTGAACCAAATAATTTAACCTCTTCCTTTGATTAGTTATACAAAGTAGCTTTAACCCCTTCCTTTGAATGGTTGAACAGCATAGTTTAAACCCCTTCTAGTGTTTGGTTTAACATAATAATTTAACCCCTTCCATTGATTAGTTCAACAGAATATCTATAACCCCTTCCTTTGATTGGTTTAACAGAATGAATTCAATCCCTTTCTTTAATTATTTTAACAGAATAGCTTTAACCCCTTCCTTTGATTTGTTTAGCAGAATAGCTTTAACCTCTTTTTTTGATTCGTTTAACTGAATGGATTTAGCCCCTTCCTTTGATTCGTTTAACAGAATGGATTTAACCCCTTTCTTTGATTGGTTTAACAGAATGAATTCAATCCCTTTCTTTTATTGGTTTAACAGAATAGCTTTAACCCTTCCTTTGATTTGATTAACAGAATGGCTTTAACCCTTTCTTTGATTCGATTAACAAAATAGCTTTAACCCTTCCTTTGATTCGTTTAACTGAATGGATTTAACCCCTTTCTTTGATTCGATTAACAAAATAGCTTTAACCCTTTCTTTGATTCGATTAACAAAATAGCTTTAACCCTTTCTTTAATTAGTTTAACAAAATAGCTTTAACCCTTTCTTTAATTAGTTTAACAAAATAGCATAAACCTCTTCAGTTTTACTTGGGCTTGTGTCTTAAAGTCGGGGTTTACTTGGGTTTAAGTTTTTAAAATCTCAGCTCAGGACACAATTATAAAAATACTTAACAACTGAAATACATTACCAAATTAGTGAAGCAAATTATCTGCTCTTTCTTCAATTTCATAGCAGACCCCTCGTCGAGCAGATCATTTTGGTTAAATGCCATCTCTTCAAATAATCAATTTAAAATCTAAAATCTGAAAATTATTTTTTTCTAGTTCACCTATTCTTGTGAGAATCAAATTTTTTGTAGCTTCAGGACAAATGGACTCTCCCTGAACAAGAAAAAAATTTATTTTTAAAATTTTTACAATTAAATTTTTTTTTTAGTTACCTGAACTTTATCATAGATTCCGTCATTATCCTAACATAAAACAAAAATTTAAAATTGTTTTGTTTTGTGAATTTAGGTTTTGTTTTGTTTTATATTATTAAGTTTTTTTTATGTGTTTCTTTCGTTTGATTTTGTGTTGCTTGTCTGGTTTTGTTTATTTTTGTATGGTTTAATTATGGTTTATATTTTTTGTTTGGTTTTGTATTGCTTAGTGTGATTTTCTTTGATTTTGTTTTGTTTTGTTTGGTCTGGTTTGGTTTGGTTTGGTTTAATTTGATTTGGTTTGGTTTATTTTATGGTATCATGTTTTGTTTTGTTAAGTTTGGTTTAATATGATTTGGTTTGGTTTATTTGGTTTGGTTGACCTCATCATCATCACAGAAGTTTCCCGTACCATCTCCATCACTGTCTAAACTTCATTCATTTCATTTTATCCTGTAGTATTCTGTTAGAAATTACGAACATTTAGTTTGAGATTGTGAACAGATTGATAGGGATATCTCACAAACTTTCAATTCCTTAAAATGATGCTTGTTTTCTTGAATAGAATGTTAGATACCCCGAAATTTTTAAATCTAAACGAAGGAAGAGTTTAAATCTTTATTGAAGATTATTATGTCGGTTTTAAAGGCTCATCTTATTTATGAGTAACCATTAAGGATATATGTATATCAGCTGTAACTACATGGATTTAGACTGCTTTAATTTAGAGCAGTAAAGTTGTATAATTATCAAGAATTAGTCAACTTACTTAGAGCAGTCTGGATCCATGTTTAACAAGTTGTATAATTGTCAAGAATTAGTAAACCTACCTAGAGCAGTCTGGATCCATGTATAACAAGTTAAATAATTGTCCTGGCTTTTGACCTTACCTCACTAACTTACTTAGATCTTGCTAACACCTAAAGACTTTAAGAAGTAATTATCAAAATGCACATTTGCACCATACAACCTTTGAATCGCAACAGGATGAAAAATCATCAAAACAGTGCAAGTGGTCGTAAAATATTTGATTAATGAACGATTTCCTAATTGATCCGGGTTCACAATGTTTTTACAGTTGTCCTTTTTACAGTATGGCCCTACACAGTTTTCTAGCGTCTTATCGGGGTAGTTATCTAAAAATCAGTTCTTAAAAGGGATGTTAATTAATCTTGCAATTAGATACTAAAGGTAGATGCCAAATTCACAAAGATACATTTAAAACGTAAATATTTTTGTTTTTCTATTCGAAAAATTGAAGGTTTTAAATTTTTTTTTCTTTAAAAGAGACTTTCAAATCTATGCCCTACAGACAAGAATCGATATGGAATTTATTTCTTTTTAAGAAAAACGACGATATCTTCCTCATCATTACTCAGATTAAAGTTCCCAATACACTATTGTGAATTGGGAATGGAATTCTTTAAATAAAGGCTCTCACTTTGAATTTACAATAAAGTAGTTTTTTAAGATAATTAATAATGAAAAATGAAAATAATAATTTTCTTGTATATTGGAACATTACATTTTACAATTATATCAAATATTTCAAAAATCTTATAAGGCTTTTTTAAAATTTTTCTGAATAAAAATCACCAAGATCGGAGTCTTTTCCACACGTAAACCCATCTCCTGCATACCCAGTTTTACACACGCACATTCCGTTCTCTTTCTCAGCTTTCACATCACATTCTTAAACATTTGCGGTAAAGGGACTGTAGTCAGAATTTCAAGGGTAAAGGGACTGTAGGCAGAATTTCAAGGGTAAAGGGACTGTAGACAGAATTTCAAGGGTAAAGGGACTGTAGGCAGAATTTCAAGGGTAAAGGGACTGTAGACAGAATTTCAAGGGTAAAGGGACTGTAGACAGAATTTCAAGATTAAAGGGACTGTAGACAGAATTTCAAGATTAAAGGGACTATAGACAGAATTTCAAGGGTAAAGGCACTGTAGGCAGAATTTCAAGGATAAAGGGACTGTAGACAGAATTTCAAGGGTAAAGGGACTGTGGACAGAATTTCAAGGGTAAAGGGACTGTGTACAGAATTTCAAGGGTAAAGGGACTGTAGACAGAATTTTAAGGGTAATGGAACTGTAGACAGAATTTTAAGGGTAAAGGGACTGTGGACAGAATTTCAAAGGTAAAGGGACTGTAGACAGAATTTCAAGGATAAAGGGACTGTAGACAGAATTTCAAGGGTAAAGGGACTGTAGACAGAATTTTAAGGGTAAAGGGACTGTGGACAGAATTTCAAAGGTAAAGGAACTGTAGACGGAATTTCAAGGATAAAGGGACTGTAGATAGAATTTCAAGGGTAAAGGGACTGTAGACAAATTTTAAGGTTAAAGGGACTGTAGACAGAATTTCAAGGGAACCTCTATTTTAAGATTCACAACGATACCTTTAAACCTGAAGCCATACCTATTTTCTGGATTATTATTAATTACTAGCTGAAGGGCCCGGCGTTGACCATGGAATAAAAAAATTGTAATTTTTTTTAAGTCTACAGCCGACGTGGACCACCCATGAGTGTCCACAAAAAAATTCAGCCCAATCGGTCCAGCCGTTTGGCCGGCTATAGGCAACATATATATATATACGAATGTCTGCTTTTATTATATAAATTTTGAATTTTCAGTTCTCTGCAATGTAATGCACGATATCTTCGCATTGTTGCTCAGATAAAAGTTTATGGGGTACCGTTGTGAATTGGAAATGCCAATCTATAAATGTAGGGTCACTTCATATTACGTCTACAGCCCCTTAAAGAATATATATGAAGTGATGGAATACTCGTTTAATTGTTTTACTCCAGAATTTAATTGGTGTTGTTTTTTCAATGGCATAATAATTTTAAAAGAAAAGAATTTTTATGTAAATCTTTAGGTTTTTGACATTATCAAATAAATGATAAGTTATCTTTGAAATAGTGGATTAACTATTAAAGCTAAATATGGTTATGGTAGAGAAGTAGTTCAACTAGGTCTAGTTGGTTGAACTACTTCTGTAGTGCACTGTTTGGTATAGTAGAAAAGTAGTTCAACTAAGTCTATTTGGTTGAACTACGTCTACAGTGCAGTATTGGTTACTCCTGAAGAGTAGTTCAACTAGGTCTAGTTGGTTGAACTACTTCTATAGTGCACTCTTGGTTATAGTAGAGAATTTAGTTCAAATAGGTCTAGTTGGTTGAACTACTTCTATAGTGCACTCTTGGTTATAGTAGAGAAGTAGTTCAACTAGGTCTACTTGGTTGAACTACTTCTATAGTGCACTCTTGGTTACTCCTGAGAAGTAGTTCAACTAGGTCTACTTGGTTGAACTACTTCTATAGTGCACTCTTGGTTACTCCTGAGAAGTAGTTCAACTACTTTTTGCTACTCATTAAATCCAATCTCAGATCAGGATGATTGATAGAAGAATAAAATCTATTTTAAAATACTACCTTTGCATGACAGTTGAGGTTCATCTTTTTCATAAACCATTATACTAAAGAAAACATAAAAATAAAGTTTATAGAAAAGAAATTAAGTCTTTGTCACGTGCATCAATTTTGCTAATCCCTATATTTGTGCAACCTAACTGTGTAAACCTTATTTGAGCTATACAGAATTCTAAAATCTTCAACATTTTGTTGCAAAGAGATTATACAATCAGAATTTGTTACAACTACTAAAGTCTTTTGTTGCTTACCTATTATAACTGTGGTATATTAATTTTATACCTATTTTCATCACAATAGAACTCGGACATACTTGATGAATAATGGACAGGGCATTTCAGAGAGCACTGAAATTAAACCTATAAATTCTGTTTAATATTTAGAACTGTGTGTCTTGTTTTCTGGGAAAAATGAAGGAATGTGGTATAAAGGGCACCCTGCACATTCTTCGTAAAATGTGTTGTGCTTAGTCAGTAGTCACCCATAAGAAATATTGTATTCGAAAATCTCAACAAGAAGTAAAAATATCACGGGCAGCCGTAGTACATTTGAACTTCCTCAACCTTTCCGGTCCGTTTGTACTATATCGCCCAGACATTGGGTAAATAAAGCAGATACTCAATAGGACAAGCCGGCGCAACAAGGTTGGCGCGAGCAGACTTTAGGTTAAATTTACTTTTACTAAAGGGTCAGGGGTGCGTGATATGGAAATAAATCAGAACACTGAACTATCAGAAAATGAAGATGAAGAAAATTTAGGTTATTTCTAAATCTTTGAATGTAAACTATGTTAAGAATTCTGAAATGTGGACTTTTAAAACTGGATAATAGAATAAACTAGACTTTATAGGTCCTACCCAAGTATTTGAATTTCTAAATTGCAGTTTTGATAAACTCACCTTACTGTGGGGAAGGTAAGGGGGCCAACAGTTAAATTGCTGACTACTTCTTTCAGTGATTTGTCCAAGGCAAGCTTGTTGGATGATTCCTTTTCAACAATGTTCAAATATAGAATAAAGTAACTTTTCACACAAATTCAAAAAGACTTATACATGTTATAATTTGTAAGTTCTGATGCGCTTTCAAAAAGCAAATACTGTTAATTTTTAAATCTTGTTTTTGAAACCAAAAAAATTGCAAAAAACTACCATTTACTCAATTTATAACATTGAGATAACGGTAATTTATAAAAAATACAAAATATAATCTGAAAATCTTTGTATTTGAGTTTATACCTAGGGTGTTGTTATTTGTGTTCCCTTCTGCAGCTAGAGATTCTGTATATGTGTTGTTCAGTATTCTTTCATAGGTTTCCAATTGAGATGGATTTACAAGTATATTAACATCAGATACATTGACTGTAAATGTACCCGAGGAGTTGGTATGCACAACTTCATGAATCACCTTGACTGCCCCATCTTTTCCTTTCAGATTTTCAAACTCCATTTCAATAGATTCATACTTTCCTTGATTTAGGCGAGAGGGGGTAATCGTATCATTGATACTTAATTTTTTTCCATCATTAGACAAAGTTGTAATAAGTTTTATTGTTCGTACAATATTCTTAGGGTTTTTATTCGATTCTTTACTTTTTAAATCTTCTGAAATCGACTCAAACGTCGTTTCATCCTTGAGTTGATATGATCTTGTGATTGTCCCATTTTCAGTTATTTTGGTTGTAGGAGAGCCATGAGACAAATCAAATTCTAATACTTGAGAGGTTGCAACGGACTCTGAATTAATACTGTTTCCTTTCTCTAAAGTTGATTCAAGTTTGATATTTTTGTCTCCATTTACCCCACTAGATTCATAGGTTTTTACTTCTAAATTGGTTTCTTTGGTTTTGCCAGAAGACTCATCAAATTCTAACTCTAAATTTGTGCTATTGTTTGATTTATTCTGACTGCTGTCATTCTTTAAAACAGTTTCTATCTCTGTTTCCAGAACATCTTTTATATCTTCAGGTATAAAGTCAGTGGTTTCTATCCGAACATCTTTTACAGTTTCATTTCCTGAATCATTTCCAAAGTTAAATTCTAGTTCTGCTGTCTGGGACACATTCTTTTGCAAGTCGTTATTCAATGCATCGCCATTTTGTACAGTTGGTTCTAATTCTAATACTGCAATTGAACTGTTTATTTTTTGCACATTTTGAGAAACATTAATGTTACTACTAATATTAGCTTTTTCAGTAGGGCTATGCATAAACTCAAATTCAATTTCTTTTTCATTCAAAACATTTGTTGAGTTTTTATTCAGAGACTCCTTTTGTGCTCCTTTGATGTTTTCTGACGTCAAATCTGACTCAAGTGTAAGGTTTTCATTGCTCCTGTTGGTGGTTGATAATTCTACAGAAGTGTCAATACTGTTATTTAACTTTTTAGCCTGTTCCTTAATAATCTCTAATTCCAACTCATCACTCCTAAACGTTAGTTCTTTATCCTCTGCCAGAGTTGAATTTGTTACATTATTGCTGCTACTGCTGTTCTCCAAAGCTGCTTCTAGCTCAATTTCCTCGGAACTATTGCTTGGTTTGAATTCAATGCTTTTTGAATCATGAGTCTCTTTTAAATCATTTTTATTATCAAGTTCTAATTCTAATTGTTTGTCTTGCACATCAAAATTAGTAGAATTTTCAGTGTCAACACTTTCTGACAATTCATTTGGTTGATCACTTTTCTCCAATTCTAATTCCAACTTCTTTTCCCCATTTTGATCAGAAGAATCAGTAGAATTTTCAGATTCAATACTTTTTGACAATTCATTTGGTTGATCGCTATTCTCCAATTCTAATTCCAACTGCTTTTCCCCATCTTGAGCAGAAGAATTATTAGAATTTTTAGACTCAATACTTTTTGACAATTCATTTGGATGATCGCTATTCTCCAATTCTAATTCCAACTGCTTGTCCCCACTTTTATCAGATGAAGAATCAGTGGAATTTTCAGTGTCAACACTTTTTGATAATTCATTTGGTTGATCACTATTCTCCAATTCTAATTCCAACTGCTTTTTCCCATCTTGATCAGAAGAATCAGTATAATTTTCAGTGTCAACACTTTTCGACAATTTAATTGGTTGATCACTATTCTCTGATTCTAATTCCAATTGCTTGTCCCCATCTTGACCAGAAGAAGAATCAGTGGAATTTTCAATGTCAACACTTTTTGACAATTCATTTGGTTTATCACTATTCTCCAATTCTAATTCAAACTGCTTGTCCCCACTTTTATTAGATAAAGAATCAGTAGAATTTTCAGTGTCAACACTTTTTGATAATTCATTTGGATGATCACTTTTCTCTGATTCTAATTCTGATTGCTTGTCCCCATCTTGACCAGAAGAATCAGTAGAATTTTTAGATTCAATACTTTTTGATAATTCATTTGGTTGATCACTATTCTCCAATTCTAATTCAAACTTCTTGTCCCCATCTTGATCAGTAGAATCAGTGGAATTTTCAGTGTCAACACTTTTCGACAATTTAATTGGTTGATCACTATTCTCTGATTCTAATTCCGATTGCTTGTCCCCATCTTGACCAAAAGAAGAATCAGTGGAATTTTCAATGTCAACACTTTTTGATAATTCATTTGGTTGATCACTATTCTCCGATTCTAATTCAAACTGCTTGTCCCCATCTTGATCAGTAGAATCAGTGGAATTTTCAAGTTCAAAAAAAATTTTCTTTTCTTCTTCTTTGATAGGTCCGGTTAAGTTTTTTTTTGGGGAAAGGGTTTTAACATTTGGTGTTCCATTTTTAGATGGATTTTCATCATCAACGTCATCAGGCACTCTTGTTGAATTTTCTTGTTCTGCCATATTTACCAAGTCATCTTCATAATAATAGCTTCTGAATTCTAGCGAATCTCCTGTGTCATTAAACATAGTAGAGTTATCACTAACATATCCAAGAGGGTTGTACTTCACTAAGGTTTCAAATGTAGTTTCTTCCCAAATTTTTGATGAACCTTCTTCTGGTTTCTGTAAACCATCAATCTTTGGTTTTTCATTCATTGTAGTCTTCAAATCTTCTGGTTTAGTTACAGTGTCATCATTAAGTGTAGTTGAGGTTAACTCCCCATTCTGAGAAAGTGTGGGTTCTTTAGATGTGGTACTTTTTGATTCTCTATCTTTTGGTGTGGTACTTGGTAGCATATCATTTTTAAGTGTGGTTGTTTTTGACTCCTCATCTTTTGGTGTGGTAGTTTTTGACTCCCCTGTTTTTGGTAACATTTCATTTTTTAACGTGGTTGTCTTGGTCTCCTCTTCTTTTGGTGTGGTAGTTTTTGACTCCCCTGTTTTTGGTAACATTTCATTTTTTAACATGGTTGTCTCGGACTCCTCTTCTTTTGGTGTGGTAGTTTTTGACTCCCCTGTTTTTGGTAGCATGTCATTTTTTAAAGTGGTTGTCTTGGACTCCTCTTCTTTTGGAGTGGTCGACTTTGCCTCTATATGCTCTGGGACCGAATTTAATGAATTTTAACTGCCTACCACTGTCTTTAGTTTTAATTACCCATTCAAATCCTTACTAAATCTTAAATTTTGAATTAGTGGTTCAAATTTGAACTGGCAGTCTAGGTAGTTCAGCGACAAAGGTCAAATTCATTAAAATCAGTTCCTTGTGCTGCATTTTCGTAAATAGTGGGATAATTTAGTCTGTTAATCTCCATATCCTTTTTTTCCAAAATAATTTTGTCAACATCCAATTCCACTTTGTCAATTTTTCCAAAATTTACTTGTTTCAAAATGTCATCTTTCTGTGACCCTGGGTTTGGAGTTGCATTGAGTTCTGAAATCTAGCCAAAGAAATATTTAATTTTAAATTTGTGAAATCTGAAAAGTACAAAAAAAATAAAAAATAAAAATAAATAATAAAATTTAGTTGACAGACCATTTTGAGTCCCTCTTCCTCATCCTCACATGGCATGTCATTAAAGTTGGAACTATTTCTGAACTCATTAATCTGAAGAATTTCTTGATAAACTCCTTTCTCAGGTTGACATGCAATTCCAAGTGTATTAGAGCACCATTGTCCAAGAATACATCTAACAACAATCAGAATAAATAAAGATAGAGTATAGGTGCACTTGAGTACAAGCCGGGTACAAGCGGAATCAGGTAGAGTATAGGCGTACTTGAGTACAAGCGGAATCAGGTAGAGTATAGGTGTTCTTGAATACAAGCGGAATCAGGTAGAGTATAGGTGCACTTGAGTACAAGCGGAATCAGGTAGAGTATAGGTGTACTTGAGTACAAGCGGAATCAAGTAGAGTATAGGTGTACTTGAGTACAAGTGGAATCAGGTAGAGTATAGGTGTTCTTGAGTACAAGCGGAATCTTGTAGAGTACTGATGTACTTGAGTACAAGTGGAATCAGGTAGAGTATAGGTGTTCTTGAGTACAAGTGGAATCAGGTAGAGTATAGGTGTACTTGAGTACAAGCGGAATCAGGTAGAGTATAGGTGTACTTGAGTACAAGCGGAATCAGGTAGATAAAGATTTAAAAACAATTCTGACAAGATGGCGCTAGCATGAAGTAACATGTAGTCAGTAAAAGAAAGCACACATAATGCTGTTTTCTCTCAGCTATCTACAGACTCAGTATAGCATCTACGGCGGAACATCAATTAAACTGAACACATAGCAGTATATGCTCTTAGATGCCAAGGGGAGGGGGTTCCAGCTAGCCAAGACACGAATTGAGGGGGAAGGGGTGGGGGTGTTGGGGTGGGGGATGTAAACTCTATATATCTCTATTTTACAACAGGACAAAGTTTTAAAACTAGACCTGAGCAGAAGACTTTAGAATTGTGGAAACTGAGATCAATGATAGACCTTTCTTTTCATTAATCTCAATTTTATCTTAAAAGTGTTTAAAATTCAACCAATAGAGTGGCGTATGCACATTGGATATTCAGATTAAGCGATGGGAAATATGGGTATTCAATTCTAAAGTTCCCATGTCAGGACAATCCGTTATTTCCTTTATTTTCACAAATATCAAAGGATATCAGAAAATATATTTTAAAAAACTCCTGTAACAGTTAAACTAACCTAGCTAATACAGGTCTAGATATACCAAATCCATTGTTGCATAAGAGTGCACATGACAAGTCAGAATGACAAACCCATTGCCCATTCTCTTGAAAATTTCAAATAAAATTTGTAATTTATTTCTTTTAATAATGAAAATTTATCTTTTTTTATTTTATAGATTTTAACCTGGAGGATTTAATGGAGTGCATTCAAAATCTTCTTTGACATCTTTTATCATCTTCTGAAACAAATATCTGATTAGATTTACCTTGATTATCATTAAAATTTCATTTTGCCTAGATAAATTAAGTCTTTGCCACAGCAAACGTTTGGATTCTCTACTCCCTATATCTTTGCAACTCATGATGTCCTAGAAATAACAATTATTTGGGGAATCAAGAATTTAGCTTTTCACCATGCATCAATATCCCTAAACAATATTGGCCTTTTTATAATTTGATGCTTTTCAGGCCAAATTGGTCAGGAAAATTCTTGAGAAGATAAATTATTTGTTGAAATAATTAAACACTGCCAAGTCGTCGAGTTAAGAACTGTTATATGCTCGTAATTTGAGAGTTTCTAGGTAGCAAAGCAAAGCAAAATTACGACTTTGTTCTTTAAAAAAATGGCTTACCTTCAGTGCAAGGAAACCTGAGTTAGTTGGGACACTATCCTCTGCAACTTGATCTAAAAATGTTAATCATAATAATGTTAAACCTTGAAAGGGACTGCCGAAGTTTTTTTCGGTGACCCTCTATATAAATAGTTGAATGTCTGATTAATCATGAATGGATACTTTCAAATTTCAGATTTATAAAAGTAACTTGTGGATTTATAGAACAGAGACAATGTAGGAAATTGTCAGAGTTAAGTTTAGATGGTACCGTTGTTAATTGGGCCTACAAATCTATAAATGAAAATTACCAGTTTTTACACATGATGAAGAGTTTGTTTCAAAACTTCCTTCATTGCACACAACCATCTGAGGTCCAGATAATCTGAAAAAATTAAACCGTGAACCATTAAATTTAAAACTTTTAATTTTCTTATTCGTATCTACCTGTAACCTTTATTACATTCCAGCAAGCAAATTTCACTTTTATCCCTATACCCGCATTTCCAGTAACCATTTAAAGGATTTTCCGGGGCAGGACATCTGGAAATTTCGTTTATATCTACAAATTTTCTTGAAAACTTGTTTGGTTCAAAAATTAAAAATATGCTTACTTAAAGCAAATTAGATCTGAGGATTGAGGAATCCATCCACCTCTTGTACACACACGATACTTTCCTTTAGAAGCATGTAAACCAGGATCACAGGTTAATGTGCACACACTTCCTATCCTCCTTTCCGCACAATCCTAAACCAGTTTCACAGGTTAATGTGCACACACTTCCTATCCTCCTTTCCGCACAATCCTAAACCAGGATCAGAGTTTATATTAAGGAAGAATGACCCGATCAATTTATGAAGTTATGTGTATGATTCACAAAAGTGCCCTTTAAACCTTTGACAGATGAAGGATGTCGAAAATATCCTTATTAAGATATTGAAATATCAATAGTAACATTCTAGAAGTTTACTTTTGAACTTTTGAAAATAGCTGTTAAAGTAATTTTGTTAATTTTGAGAAACACCGGTAACACTCAGCTGTGTTGAGTTCACACTGTAAGCAGCGTACACCTGGTGTCACGCTTATTTAACTGTTATTCGAGAGATATTCACATCCAGCTCACTAATCGATAGTCAAAAGTTTAAAGGGTACAGTTGTAAATCGAGCATTGCCCAATTTGAATGGAGTACCACTGGAAGTTACGCTTACAGTCCCTTTAAGATATAAACATTCAAACCGGTCAAGTCAATGAAGAATATACTTGTTCAACCATAGTCTTGACTTTTTCTTTAAAGTAAACTAGGTATTATTAAAATAAAATAAAATTGGATCGATCATCTGTCAAATTTGTTTATAAATAAACTTTATATCTTAAACAAGTTAATTTTGCTTGAATCTTCTATCAACAAATCTTATATTTCTTTAAACAATGTAATAACAAGAGTGTGTATGAAAAAAAGAGGGATATGAGGATGCAAAGAAATAGGGATTATTTTTTGACAAGCGTACATTTTTTTACATAAAAAAATATCAATATGTAGATATATAGTAAATGCCTTACTCCTAAAACTGCTGGCAGACCAGTATCAATCCAGGTACAACTCTTAACTATCAATACCAAACATGGGCACAATCTCGTCAGCTATCAATGTCAACACGGACACCAGCTTGTAAACTTTCAAAGCCAAACATGGACACAATCTCGTCAGCTATCAATGTCAAGACGGACACAAGCTAGTTAACTATCAATGCCAAATAAGGGCACAATCTTGTCAGCTATCAATATCAACACTAACACAAGCTCAAAAACTATCAATGCCAACACAAGCATGATCTTGTCAGCTATCAATATCAACACGGACAAAAGCTTGAAAAATATCAATGCCAAACACGGAACAATCTCGTCAGGTATTTATGTCATGTGGACACAGATTTGTAAACTATCAATGTCAAACACGGACACAATATCAACAACTCATTCGCTAAACGTGGAACTCTCACCGTAATCAAAGCAAACTCTATTCCAGCTGACGTGTTTTTAGATATCTATTTCACAGGTTTAGTTTATATACGTATTAACAAGATTTGTAAAGATATATATATAAGCGTAGTAAAGCTAATCACAATACATAGCTAGGCTAATCAAATTACTAATTTTGCGTAGTTAATGACTAGTGCATTTAGATTTACAGACAATGTACAACATAATTTATCTAGGTATGTTCAAATGTATAAGCATGGGATTTGGTACTGTATTTATTACAGATAAACTATATCTCCAACATATTTGAAAAGTAATATAGAGAGGAAATCTCATATTGTTTCTTATCTTCATGTAACAAATGTTGAGAATAAAACCATAAAACCTCAGTAGGGTGGGAGCAGGCCCATTTACCATAAAGGACAGTTTCATTTTCTAGTCTTCAAACATAGAGTTGATATATTTATAGATTTTTAAGAAGAACCATTTTGAAGAAAATGTTTGAGCCAACCCTGTTAATAATGAAAAATTATCACCATGGTTCAGCCCGACTAATTCTGTTGCATAGAACATGTTGGATCAACATACTACTGGATAACACTAGACAGGCCGGTACGGTAAAAAATAGACCGGCCTTCTTGTACTGGTTAGGATCAAGCAACTTTTAAACTTACTAGGCTTACAGGGCGCTAGGTGCCCATCTTCGATTTCAATTGTACACATTGTAAAACAAAAACAAAAAAATCCGCGGATTTCATTTAATTTTGTAATGGCAAATTTTTGAAAATTCAATCATCCATGCACCTTCCCTCGGGTCACGTCAGGTCCCACAAAAAATTTGAGCACGATGGATACAAACAAAAACAGCCGTAGTACATTTGAATTTCCAATCCGGGTCAACCTTTCCGGTACTGTATCGCCCGACATCGGGTAAATAAAGCAGACACTAAAAAGAACTAGCCGGTGCAACAAGATTGACGCGGTCAAACTTTAGGTTGAATTTACTTTTACTAAAGGGTCAGGGGTGCGACGTGCGTGACCCAGACAAGCAAAGCATAAATGTATATATCAGCTCTTTGCCTGGGACATATATTTTCCACACATGTTCTCTCTTTCATTTCTTGAGGATTCGGTTTCCAGCCTGATAGAAATTTCAATATTAATTTCAATAATAAATTTCAATAATGAATTTCAATAATGAATTTCAATAATAAGTTTGAATAATAAATTGCAAACTAAATATGTATGCATATAACAGTGTTTGATCATAAATACTTTTGGATAGAAGCACGGGCAGCCGTAGTACATTTGAATTTCCGATCCGGGTCAACCTTTCCGGTCCCAGTTTGTACGGTACCTAGCTCTATGGACAGGACTAGCCGGTGCAACAAGGTTGACGCGGTCAGACTTTATGCTTCATATAGGATAAATTCACTTTTACTAAAGGGGCAGATTTGCGTGTCGAGTGGTCGTTATTGACACAACCTGACTATAATCTCTGCACATGCTGCCGTGAAGGGGTAAATATTCAGTGAGCAGAGTATATACAATAAAACCAGTCCCAAAGCAAAATATTAATGAGTTGAACACAAAACAAAATTAAAAATTATTACAATAATAGTAATAATTTCATTATCTATAAAAATAATAATAAATATATGGATTGTTTTTAATGAATGATTACACAAATGAGAATTATTCTTAATAAAAAAGTAAAAAATTGAAACTATTTTGTTTTGAATTCCAATGTCCAAAGAAGTGCGCCAAATGTTTCATATTTTCTTTGCAATTTATTTTTATCTTTTATAACCTGCAGGAGTGCAGATTGTTTTAAACTCCTTGCTTAGGATGTCGTCTCCTTTACAAGATAACCTGAAAAAATCAGCAACTATTTTAACGAAATTTTGATAAAAGTTGTTTTTATTATTTCTTTTCACCTGCAGTGTTCGCCAAGAGCAGGGGTTTCAGAGCATTGCCATTCAAATTTCCCCTAAAATAAAAAAGTGATTTATAAAAACGTTGTTATTTGAATTTTAAGTTTTTATTGCCATCACATTATTAAGGTTTGACATTGTTAATGGGGAACTATCGTTTTTATGCAGTAAACGGAATGACTGCAAAACATTAACATTAGAACGATCATTGATTGGTGAATGGTTGGCTTTTGTTAGCAATCTTTAACGATCCACCACAGTGATTCAAAGGTGGCAAATTCTAACACAAAGTAAAATTAAGTTTGAGAAGTAAATTAAAAAGTAAATATGTTGCGACTTTTGAAAATATGAAACTTTTCAGTGAATTCTGGATCTATGTGTATCCTTAACACCAAGGAGTATGAAATAGAAGGGAGATACAACTGACACGGAAATATTTGTCTGATGTACAATTACCGCGTATACAAGAACCTATTCTGAATATTTCTTAAACGTATAATCATATGGTAGGGCATAGTTTTATCTCACTTCTATTTCATACTCCTTGGTTAACACCAGAAATCTCAAAAGTTTACCTTCAGAGGTAGTGTTGTTTTCTCACAATTTACAGGATTAAGGTCCTGTATCTTAGTGATGTTAGATTTAGAATAGGCATCCCCTGAAATATTCTCTGTCTCATTACTACTTGGATCCTGTCGTTGTGTAGTTTTCAAGGCATCTTTCTGGGGATCTTTTGTTTTATCCATCAAGATACTTTTAACAGTGAAGAGCATGAGGAGGAGAAGAAACATTGAAATCTAAAATGAAAATAAAAATGCGAATTATCGCATATTTCAAAAGGTTCTGTTGTAAGCTCTAAGAAGTGATATGAACTGAAAACACCCAGGTTTACACATAGAACCAGCTCCATGTTGTTTAACCTTATTAGGATTGGGGACCGTGGTTTTTCTCATAAACTTAGGAACGGTTTACATTAAAACCTTCTTCACTTCTCCAACTTCATAGTTATAAACCAAGCACATCTTCTATAACAATTGTTAATAATGATAAAAAATAGTCCATCACTTTTTATTAATTAAGCTACAAAAGATGAAAAAGTGAAGAAGTTTGAACGTTCTTGCAGTTTATGAATTATGGAGAAAAAACCATAGGGGTGGATTACCCCCCCCCCCCCTCGTGATAGGGTTAAGATTGGAATTTATATTTCATTTCCTAAATTAGTTTTAATTTTAACAATAAAATTGTTATTGATCCATTTAAAGTTTTAAAGGTCCAATAGATTGTTTATGACCAAATTCAGGGGTAGCACAAATTATAATAACAATTCCTATAAAAGAGAAATATGACTATATCATCACTTATTAAATTTATAATAGTTGTTTATGAATGCATAACAGTTAAGTTTATGAAAACATATCATTTTTTTTTGACTATATAACAGTTGTTTCTAAACACATAACAGTTGATTATGAATATATATCAGTTTTTTATGAAAATATAACAGTTGTTTATGAATATAACAGTTTATTATGAATATATAACAGTTGATTATGAATATATAACAGTTGATTATGAATATATAACATTTGATTATGAATATATAACAGTTGAATATATAACAGTTGATTATGAATATATAACAGTTGATTATGAATATGTAACAGTTGTTTATGAAAATATAACAGTTGTTTATGAATATATAACAGTTGATTATGAATATATAACAGTTGATTATGAATATATAACAGTTGTTTATAAATATATAACAGTTGTTTATGAAAATATAACAGTTGTTTATAAATATATAACAGTTGTTTATAAATATATAACAGTTGTTTATAAATATATAACAGTATATATTTACTAGAATTAACAATGAACTTGTGAAAGACGAGCAACAATAGGATACTATTACCACGATACATTTTACACAACTTTTCATACAATTTATTCAAAGAAAAGTAAATCTACATTTTCAAGGAATAAAATAATTCTAAATCTTGAATAAAGGGAAAAATAGAGTTACAGGAAACTTTAAAAATTTCTTAGAAAATATATAAATCCCTCGTTGAAAAAAGTAAATGCTGCGAAAATTAAAAAAATAAGTATTTTGAAGCTTTTTTTGATGAAGAAAGTAAAGTGGAGGAGACAAATACAATAGAGGAAGTTTAGTTTAAACAATGCTGAACCTGACTCTTCTTATACTTCTTAGTATTCTATCAACAATTTATTGTGAAAACTGTGCAAAACAAAATCTACCTCACAAAGTAAGTGGAGTTTAATTTTTCATGTATATCGCTAAATATAGCCAGGGCGAGATGCATTCTTTAATTTAAAAGAAGTAAAAAAAAGTAAAAAAAACAACACCAAAAAATCATGCTTAAACAGTCATATTGTGAATTAAAGTGAGTGCTTGCTGGGGCAAGGACCGAACTGTTTAATTTTTATACTTATATATAGATAAACAAACGCATAATTCCATGGAATGTATTGCTGCAAAATTGTTCAAAACATAATTGGCAAAAACGCCGTTACAGAAAATCAGCAGTTACTCCCGAGCATTGTAAACATTCAAAACCAGGAATGTTATTTCAGTTTACCTCATTTCTATGTGATATAGGGAGTATATGAGGGGGAAGTTTATTATATTGTTAGGTTACTTTTTTTCAAAAACATTTTAAAGCTCCAATAATAAGACTGAATCTAAAATTTCTTCCAACTGCATTTATTTGAATGAGCTTGGACGTTCTCGAGAGATATTACCAGAGGTCACTGATTAGATACGCCATAAGCAGAAAAAGTGTTAAAAAATAATTTGAGAGCAAAATTAGAAATGGAAAGATTTTAAAAATAACTGTAAAGGGAGTGTTTGCGAAAAATGAGAGGGGTATAGGCTTCATGCGATAAAAAGTGCACGTTTGATCGCTACTAATCTTACTTCTATCTGTTGCGTCTACAAGGAGAAAATTGTTAAAAACGACTCACACCGAAGAACCCAGCGTCCATACAAATTCGGAAAGATGCAACATTTAACTCGGATCGTAAACAAATCAATTTAATTCCAAACAAATCATTCATATATTACAAACAGTAATCATCGATTATTTTTCGACGCATTCGTATATAGTTAATATTTCACAATATTTTTGATTTTCGCTGGCGCTGAATTTTCGAACATTCCTGGAAAATATGAAAATGCCGTCTTCATTATCAAAAATCCTCGAAACAGGAATAAATGTTTTCAAAAGAATCACTCAGATCATGAAAACTACAAAATATTATGATATATCAAATATATACGAATGCGTCGAAAAATAATCGATGACTATTGTTTGTAATATCTGAATGATTTGTTTGGAATTAAATTGATTTGTTTACGATCCGAGTTGAATGTTGCATCTTTCTGACTTTGTATAGCCACTACGTTCTTCGGTTTTAGTCGTTTTTAACAATTTTCTCCTTATAGACGCAACAGATAGAAGTAAGATTAGTAGCGATCAAAACCGCTTTCTTATCTCATTAAGCCTATACTCCCTTTAATTTTTCGCGAACACTCCCTTTAATTAAACTTAATTCCTTTTAGGCTGGATTAGGGTGGAAATGTGCCCAAGCTGGAAATGAAATCATACTGGGTCAAAAATGCCGGTAAATTATAATTTCTTTTTCAGCTAAATTTATTTTAAAAGACATTTTTATTTTATTGTATTGTGGTTCAATCCTAAATAAAACAAGGACGTAGATTGTTATTATTTTATGCTCAACAAGCTTGAGAACCCAGCTCTGAGTAGAAACTAAACTTTTACTTTTAAACTGAACTTTCATTTTTAAAGTCAACTCAACCACACTAAGCTTAGAACTTTTATACCAAGCAATTAACTTTCCAAACAAACAAAGAAACAAACCAAAACCCAACCAGAAATTACTACTTTATAAAAAGAATGATTACAGCAATTATTATTATTAATTTTTTAGGCATTTTAAAATATCACTATCATTATCCATTTTAAGTGTGAGCGCATAGATTAATATTAACACAGATAGATCACTAGATGTCGTCTTTTCAAGATTTAGGGGTTTTTCGTTCACAATAATCCTGAGGCAAACGCCCAAAGAAGTTACGCGCATTCTGCGTTGAATTACAAGACAGACAGAGAGCCTGTTCTAACTAAGCCGCATGCTTGTAATTCCTAGGAATCAGGGTTATTGTGAACTAAGAAACCCCTAAATCTTGAAATGACAATATCTTTAGTGTTCTATCTGTGTTGTTCGTCTTCTTATTTAATTTTTAAAAGTTTTTTGTTAGATTAACTTGTGGTGACGGTGAACCTCTAGAGGAAACTATAGAGTCTACGTGTACACCCTTGGGTTGGACAGACGTAGCTTTTCCAGGTAAAGTGGCCTGTACACGTAATGACTCTCAGTTTTCAGAATGGAATGTTAGATTCACAACAGTACATTAAAAAGCTTTGCCTAATCCATCATTTTCTTTCAAAAATTGATCTCTCTTTCTGAAAAGAAAAAACTGTTAGAATTAGTCTTTTCCTAGCAGCATGTCATAATTGCAGCGCTCGGTCCTCTAACTTTCCTACAAAGCTGCAGTGGTGTCCCTATCTTATCTTGTCAAGCTGATAAAGCTTTAGATGTACTAAATTAGGCCTAAAATCCAAATTGTATCCTTCCATATTTTTTGTTTTTGAATTACTTTTTTAAAAGTTTTTTCCTTTATCTTTTTCTAAGAGTTCTGAGCTAGCTTCTAGCTTACATTTAAAATTAATGATACTTTCTCTCTTCGCTCAAGAATAATAAATGACATATATCAACAAGTGAGAAATTGTTTAAACTTGGAACAAAGTTTAATTTAAATTATTTAGCAGTAGTTTAAAATTTCAGAGTAAAGGAATGAAAGGGGTTTTTAGGTACGATAAATGTAAAGATGAGATAGTCATTTTCAATCCAAGAGTGATCTCCTTGGTTACAAGATTAATTGAACCCTGTCCAGAAGGCATCGTCATCGTCAATATTGAAAATGAATCAACAGCGATAAAAAAATTAAAATCGTCCATGCGGTTCCGATCCGACGATTTTATTCCAAAGGCCGAAAAAATAAAAATTTGATAAAATTGTTATACATAATTTCTCGGAAATTTTATGTTAAACTCAAATTCGAAAACCATAAAAAATATATTAAAAATTGTATAAACTAAGACCAAAAAACAGTCTAAAAACTTGCCTTTAAATTTGACTGATGTTTTTGTGAGTTTTTGGGCCTAGCTCAGTAAATTTAAAATTTTTCAAAATTCGTTTTTATCTTCGAATTCAGCATAAAATTTTAAAGAAATTGTAATGTAAAATGTCATTTAGTTTGGGGCCTTTTTACTGATTTCTCTCACATCCTTGATCAAACAAAGGTTTAAAGGGCACCGAGGGAATCAGACTCATAGTTTCAATCTTTAAATGAAGAGATCACTTGAAAGTAGAACGATCAGTCCCTTTAAAACTTGAGATGAATCAGCGGCATTGCGAATACCAAAGTTACACTTTTGGAAAGACACAGTTTTTTCATGAAAATCACTTTTAATATTTCTTATCTGCAGCATTTCAAACTCAATCTAATCTATCATCACGTTAACGTAAGTATTAATATCTGTAAAAATGACTATAAAAGGGTGATACAGGGTGTCCCAATAAGTATGGGAATAAAGAAACGACTTGAACACATTTTTCAATTTTTCGACAGCTGATAAAGGACAAAGGTGTATCAAAATTTAGACTGACCGTCTTATGGTCTTTTAAAATTGTGGTCTGCCTTTATTGTGTCTTCAAAACTGATGAAGATATTAAACATTTGAATAGAGTCAGGATAGATTTCTTTTAATATTTCCGTCGATTTTGAATATGATAAACCACATTTTGGAATTCCCAAGGTTTGTAGTTTTAATATAAACTATTATAACTGAAGTACTACAAAAATTGTTTTCGCATAATAATGCCACGCTGAACAATGACGATAAAGAAGTTGACCCTTTATTTCCATGTTTTTTGAGGCACCCTGTATATTTCAGAAGCAGCGGAGTGTAGAAGCAGCAATGCTTGCTTCAATGTATTAAAAGATCAGTAAGTATCATAGATAAAACAATAAGATACAGTGATAAAACTCACATTTATTGTTGTCTGTCTACATTTAAAAATGATGGCACACCGAGAAAGGAACAATTAACTCGCCAAATACTATAATTGTGTAATACCTACATGATCTGTGTAACCTAATGATATAAATACTTATAACCTTGACTATACTATTTGAAATAAAAAACATAGTTTATAATACCGAAGCCCAAAGGTCTACTTTAGGTTACAAAATTAGGCATAATTGGTTCTCTCTTGCACAATCCTTATTTCTTTTTAAATAGAACAATTAAACAACATTTGTATCACGGCTATTTAATTATGATTATTAATCTTAACTATGGACCAAATTTAATGAATTTAAATTCGCAGCCGGTTCAAGTTGTGCAGAAGTGATTCAACCACGTCAAAGGAGCTCAACTAGTTTATTTATTAAATCTAGTTCCAGATATTATCAAATTGAATTTTAAAAAATATTCATAACTTACTTTTCAATTTGTGTAGATTAAATGGGTAACTTCTTTGGTCATTTCTACCAGCAAAGAAATATTTGTTCTACACTATGTTTCTTTGAATATGTGTACATTTAAATTTCCGTAAAATAAAAGCATACATAATTTTTATACATTATTTAGAGTTTATAACGGGCATTGGACTTGCACAGATCAATTATCTAAGGAAAGAAATGTTTTTTCTTTGAATTCTTATTTCTATTCTTTAAAATGATTTTTTAAACAATTTAACATGAAAATGTGGCCTTTATTGGCCTTTATTGGCCTTTATTGGCCTTTATTGGCCTTTATTGGCCTTTATTGGCCTTTATCAAACTATCAAACCATTACAAAATAATGAAAAGATCGAGAATTTTCTAAAAAAAAATATACTTTTTACCAGAAATGCAAATACCCAAAACCAGGTAAAACAAAATACAAATTTTACATTATTCATTCTTAAATAATCTTATTAACACAACATATAATTAATTTTAAAAATCTATAATAATTCAAGATTTGAAATATATATAATTCTATATAAAAAGTAAAAGGGGTACCTTGACTTTATTTTACATTTATCAGGTTCAACCTGTAATATTGACTACTATGCTCAAGTGCCCATGCAGCGTTTAACAAAATCTAGTTTTTTTTTCAAAATTCGAAATTTTTTTCCACGGGCAACGCCGGGCCCTTCAGCTAGTATATATATATATATATTCAAAAAATTCCCCGACTTCAGCTAATTATATATTTATTATATATATATATGAACTTTATTATATAAATATCAGGTTCAACCTGTAAGCTTGACTGTGATCCTGGATATCATCACAGTGTGGGTAAATTAAGGTAATACAATCAAAGTTAGGACTTACACCATAAGCAAGTTTTTGCGTAAAGGAGTTGATTTCTAATTCCTTTATCTGTACAGCCCAATGTTGAAGACATTAGATATTTAAAATGTAAAAGTTTTATGTCATCAGGTTGAAAAGATATAGGGATACAAATTTTTAGTTTGTGACAAAGACTCAATTTCTTTTTTTAAGGTTAGTTTAGAAGGAATCGTGAACTTTTGAGTGGGGGGGGGGGGTCAGGTGATCGAATTAAAAAATCTGTTAATTATTTCTAGATGATTTAGAACACATTCCTGATTTAAAATGCGTTCCCGACTTAGAACGCGTTCTTGATATAAGAATGCTTTCGTGATTTTAACGTTCTTTTCAAGCAAAAATTACTGTTCGTTCCACGCTTGTTCTTTTACTAATCTTTCCAATACTTTAAAGAACGCGTTCTATGCGTTCGTTTTTTTTTGGAATGATGGGATTGTTCTTTATTGTTACATTCGTTTCTCGTGAGAGAACGATCATTCCCCAAGAACGACTCCCAGCCCAAGGTTAAACATACTGCTGGTTGGTGTTGAAAATATCATTTTACTCATTTGAAAAGCCCTTAAAAAATTAATGTAGAAACATGTGTCACATGTTAATATATTTTTTTAATTAAGAATATTTTTTGTGTTTTTTAACGAACTTTTTTTTATTTTTTTTTAAAACCTCTCTTGCAGTGTGCTATTAGTATAGTTAGCGATTTAATTTTTTAATAGCTGGCGTTAAAAAGTTGAACTGCGGACATAATTCATCTATATATTAAGCTCTTCGCTCATATATATATATGCATATAAGTTATCTATGGCTGGCCAAACGGGTAGAACGAATCGGCTGAAATTTTTTAAGGGAACCCTTGAGGTCCCCATGGGTAACATAGACTAATAAATCGAAATATTTTTTCTCAAAAATCAATATTTTTCTTTTTAAATTCGAAATATTCAAAATTTCACGGGTAACGCTGGGCACTTCAGCTAGTATTTCAAAATTCCTTAGAAAACACCCCTACAATCTATATAAGACAAAAATAGCCCGAAGGGGATAGGGTTAAGTTCGGTCCCAAGTCAGTTTTCAATTTCTTCAGCTAGATTGGTTAGAACCAATTCCAATTTTCTTTTTCAATTTAAAAATAAAATGTTAATACCCGGCTCCTAATCTACTTGGTAAAAAGGAATTTCAGTTTATAATATATATACCACAAGAGTGAAATAGAGTCAGTTGAACAAAATTAAAAAGCTAGTGTTCGATTTAGTGCTCAAAATATACAATTATACATTATTTTACTGTTACACAAAAGTGATTTTATATTATTCACAAGATGTTTTAATAAATATTTAAGAGGCCGAATTTAAAGAATTTTAGCCGCGGTTTAAATTTAAGCTGCGGCTCAAATGTTGTAGTTTTCACTTAAATTTAAATTTTAATTTAAAATTTTCAAGATTTCAGCTGGCGCTCAATTGAAACCGGTTTTTGGGGGATTTGAGATGCGGCTTAAATTCATTAAATTCGGACACTGATGAAGGTTACAAATTGTAAGTAAAAAAAAGGGTTTGAAAATAACTCAGTATATATTTATTTTATTTTCTGTAAGATTATAAATCTGTTAATATTTTTTTAGTTTTACTAAATAATGATAGCCGGGCCCTGTCCCGGGCGCACGCTGCCTGAATGCCAAATTTTATTAATGCCAAACTATATCTATAACTCATTAATGATAAATATTTGCCATGTTTATTGTCTCAAAATACGGTTCTGGTTTAAAAGCACCCTAGAGGAATAATTAGGGATAGATTTAATACAAATGAGCATAATATATTGTATACATATCTACTGATCGGTTGTGTATATCTGTATTTCTGTATGTCCGTATGTCTGTATATCTGTATATCTGTATATCTGTATATCTGTATATCTGTATATCTGTATATCTATATATCTGTATAACTGTATATCTGTATATCTGTACATCCGTATATCTATATATCTGTATATCTATATATCTGTATAACTGTATATCTGTATATCTGTATATCTGTTTATCCGTATATCTGTATAGATGTATATCTATATATCTGTATAGTTGTATATCTATATATCTGTATAACTGTGTATCTGTATATCCGTATTTCTGTATATCTGTATATATGTTTATATGAATATCTGTATATCTGTATATTTGTATATCTATATATCTGTATAACTGTATAACTGTATATCTGTATATCTGTATTTCTGTATATCTGTATTTCTGTTTATCCGTATATCTGTATAGTTGTATATCTGTTTATCTGTTTATCTGTTCACCTGAATATCCGTATATCTGTATATCTGTATATATGAATATATGAATATCTGTATATCTGTATATCTGTATATCTGTATATCTGTATATCTGTATATCTGAATATCTGTATATCTGTATATCTGTATATCTGTATATCTGTATATCTGTATATCTGTATATCTGTATATCTGTATATCTGTATATCTGTATATCAGTATATCAGTATATCCGTATATCTGTATATCTGTATATCTGTATATCTGTATATCTATATATCTATATATCTGTATATCTGTATATCTGTATACTCTCAGTGTAAATTTAATCCTAAGAGAAATCCTTTCAACAAATAATTTAATCTGCTTGGGCAACAATATTTTTCCAACACTTATTTACACGTATATTTATTTCTCTTTAAGTTTTGAGGATCCAATCCGCAAACATGAAGAAAAATGTGGGCTATTTTGATTTTTACGCCTGTTTTAGAGTAAACGAGAATCTATATATATAATGGGTGTTTGTTTGTTTGTCCGATCATAACTCATGAACCTCTAGAAAGATTTCCTCAGAAGTTTGAATTGGGTAACCAAAAATTTAAAAATTCTATCCTTTCTATCCTTTCTATCCTTTCTATCCTTTCTATTCTTTCTATCAACATCTGAAATATTTAAGTTTGAACTTGCATTGAGCTCTCTCTGGTTTGAATGTCTTAAATAGTGGCTGGGCGCACGTGTTTAATCTAAAAAAGAATGAGTCTGGGGGATCCAGAATAAAAAAGCTTTTATTCAAAAGATAATTAGATAACATATATACAGTTGACTTTTAATGAATGTTAAGTGTGTGTACGGAGAAAGGATGGATACCTCCAGTAGATCAATTTAGATGTTTACAGTAAGAATATTTTTAAAGAAATGGTTAAAAAATAAAGCCTGTTCAGTGTTGTATTTCGGGGGAGGCAGTGGAGGCTCCACCCCCCTCTCCTGGATTAAAGAAATCTTTGGTGTCTAGGGGAATTTTGTCCCCCCCTAGAAATACAAAAAAAATGTGACCCCCCTCTGGAAAAATTCCTAAATACACCCCTGTTGGTGCAAACTAACTGATTAGTAATGGTGATCAATATTGGAATAAAGCCAACCGCACACCGGAGGGCGCTGCGTTTTCACTTTGAAAAATATTGCAATAAAAAATGAAATTTCAAAATCGTCCATAAATTTCAAAATCGTCCATAAATTTCAAAATCGTCCATATATTTCAAAATCGTCCATATATTGCAAAATCGTCCATATATTACGGTTGCGAATTGACGATTTAACTTCAGAGAAATGTTTGAAAAACTCTTTTAAGAATATTAAAAATCAAATTTTAGCCAAAATCTGTTTTTTTTAATTTTCAAATGTTTTTTTGATGAGTTTTCTAGCTCTAACTCTTTTTTTGTAAAAGCGCTTTTCAGATTTGAATTCAGCATAAAATATCCAAGAAAATTATGTCTAAAAGTAAATTTTAAAAAATATTTTTTGGGGCCTTACTGCGATTTCTTCGTTATTAACTCGTCAATTTGCAACCCCGTATGGACGATTTTTGATTGCAATATTTTTATTAAGTGAAAACGCAACAACCTCTGGTTGGCGGTTAGCTGATTTCTAAAAAATCACAAATCAATCACCCTTAATGATTAGTAAAAAAAAAGTGAATTTTAACTTGATTTTGTTATGTGTAAACATTTTAAAGATGTGCGATGATAAATAAATCACAATAATTACAAATTGCAGAATCTTTACTTACATTTTTCAACATTTACCATTGGGAAACAATTAAATATTAATTCATTAAACTTTCGTTTTATACAAAAACTAAAAATGCACTTTCGTTGATTGCATTCTTTTAATCAACACAAAATATTTTATTACAATCTAAAAAAGATTGATAAAAAAATAGTTTTTATCTAACCAAAAATGTTCTCGTAGCTGTCCTCCACCCATGAAACCACAGAATGGAGAATGGAGGTGTGAGATGAGCCGAAGTGTCAATAAAACATTTTGTTTTGTAAATTGCAGAAAAGGATTCAGGTTTAAGGTAAAAATATTTTTAATATAAAAAAAATATTAGATTTTCGCGTTACAACATTAGTATAATAGTTCACTGTACATTGGTCCTCATCATTTTTGAGGTTTTAGACAAGTTTGAACAATCGTCTTTATGTCATATCATATTAGAATTAATTTGATTTTTATTCTATTTCATTTTATTTTATTTTATTTTTCTTAGTTTAGTTTCGCATTCGCTGGATGATGTAAGCTTGCAAAATCTGTCATTTTTCTACTCTATCCTTGCAATTTATATTGGGTTCTCTGTGAGTTGAGTTAACTAAACTTCAATTAAATCTATCATGTTGCAAAAGTATACTGATCAGAAAATTTTAGTTTGTTGTAAAGACGCAACTTCTAAATAATAATTAAATGACGCTATTTCACTGTCCAGGGCGACGAAATTATTGAATGTGATGGAAACGAATTTAAACCTTCTCCTGAGAAAACGACTTGTGTTCCAATACCATCAGCAGCGTTAGTAGATTTCATTCATTAACCCTATCCCAGCTTGGATATTCTTTTTTAAAAATTAGTATGGGGGTGGTTACAGCAACCTCCCCTGAGATTCTACCCTGAGACATGGGATGGGGTTCGCCAAATGTTAGTAGTCAAATTTGTTGAAAACATACTTATTTTTGAAACGTTTAGACAGCATTTAAATTATGTTGTTAAATAAAATTTCGATTGAGGGTGGCAGAATCCTCCCCCCCCCCCGAGTGGAGTGAATAGCAAATGTCAATGGAATATTTTCCCTGTTCAAAATTTGACAAATTTTAACTCTAACTCAAATCTGCGACCTCCTCCTCCTAACTTTGAATCAAGAAAAATCACTCCAATAAATTACTAACAAACAATTTTTTCAGATTGTCCGAGTATGGAGGTTAAACAACATTTTTTCTACATTTCAAAAGTATAAATAATTTGATAAAAATGTTGAGTTTTAACTTTTTTCAGTTGATTACTATAGTTCCGATGAAGCAGATTGTCAACCCCTTGCTTCTCCAGGTAAAATCTAGTACAGCCTTAAAGGGAGTGTTCTCCAGGTAAAACCTATTAAATCTTAAATCTTGAATCTTAAATTTTGAATCTTGAATCTTGAATCTAGAATCTTAAATCTTATTTGTATGGACGCTACATTCTTCGGTATGAGCTTTGTTTTAACAATTTTTTACTTATAGACGAAATAGATACAAGTAAGATTAGTAGTGATCAAAAGAGCTTATTTTTTACCGCAAGCCAATACCCCCTTTCATTTTTCATTTTTAAGTGAGAGAAGTTTTTATTTAGATTTTGGAAGTTTTGAGTGCACCGGAGACACTTGTAGATTGGTCTGTGATGAGGGTTATAGTACTCCAGCTGTAGCTTCTGCAGTGTAGGATATTAACACTATTTTTAACAAGTTTAAATTACTCAAACTCTGACAAATAAATAGATAGACAGTATATTTCTTACAGTAATAACCAAAAAACTCTGGAAAAGTACGACGACTTTTAGACTCAAGCTGGAAAAGTTCAATATACATGAACCACGCAGCTGTGCAGTATAAATAGACCTATTTTAGCAAATAAGTGATTATATAAGTTCCGTAAATCTATTTGCAATGTAAAAAAATAAAATTCACTTAATTATTACTTGAATGTCGTCTTCAGAATTTTCCCGCTTAGTGCAGTGAAATATTTTTTACAACCTGTATAACTCTGTATAGCTAACGGTATTTTACTATGTATAGTTGCGTAAACGGAACATGTATAGCTAACGGTATTTTACTATGTATAGTTGCGTAAACGGAACACGTATAGCTAACTGTATTTTACTATGTATAGTTGCGTAAACGGAACATGGTGTACCACTGATATTGCTGTTGGATGCAGAAGTAAGTTTTTCACAAAAAAATAAATTTTCTAAATCGCTTTTTTAATTTTATAATTTCCGTTAAGCTGTTTTTTATGTTGTATACTATTTCTTGCAATCATTTATTCACACTAAATTACAAGTAACAATGTCAAATTTTAACATTTTTTTTGATTTTTTTTACTTTTAGAACAAGGATAGATGACAAATCTTGAAAACAGACGAAAAAAGATGTGTTTTTACCATTAAATAAATAAGAGAAAATTTGAATCATTTTAATTAAAAGATTTGCAATCAAATTAAAGTTATTATGTACAGGATACACCCTGTATTAGTTTACAAGTTTAAATATGTACAGGATACACCCTGTATTAGTTTACAGGTTTAAGTATGTACAGGGTACCCCCTGTATCTCCAGTGTACACTAAGTCTCGATGAGCAACGAGGTTTGTAAAATTCAACCCAGATCCTTTAAACTCCCCAATCTAAATCAATTATATTAATAATTATTATCATCTTCTTATTTTTATCATATCAATTATTATTATTATTTTTATATTGTTTCTAGTGTCTGTCACCTGGTTACAGGCTGAACCAGTAGTAATAGGTTGGAACAGTTGGATCTTATTTTCTTTACAGCGGACAACAAGGTCGTTCACTAGATATAGAACATGATAGAGAACTAGATAGAGAACTAGATATAGAACTATACATAGAACTAAATTTGAACTAGATATAGAACTAGATATAGAACTATACATAGAACTAAATTTGAACTAGATATAGAACTAGATAGAGAACTAGATAGAGAACTAGATATAGAACTAGATATAGAACTAGATATAGACCTAGATAGATAACTAGATATAGATTTAGATAGATAACCAGATAGATAACTAGATAACAAACTAGATATAGAACTAGATAGAGGATTAAATATACTATTTAATCGTTAAACGTACAACGTCTGTAAGAAATGTTTGGATTACGCCATTTTCAAGAAAATAAATTTAGCTTGAATTTCAGGTTTATACGGGAATTTAAATTACTTTTAAAATTCTTCATATTTCCACATTCTTCAGAAATAAGGAATTGAGAGATCAGGGGGTTTCTTATCTTTTCAATAACAAGGTTTTTAGAATTTCAAAATCTCACGACATTCTTTCCAACGAATAATATTATTCCGTTTTGCTTTATATATTATTTATCTTTTTAAACTTTTAAAAACGATAGACAGTACTCAGAAATCACGTTCACTACATCTGCCAAAAGTGTTCAATGATTTGTTTAAAAAAGGATATATTTTTGAGATTTTCCTGCTTGCCAGTACTTTCTGTAATTGGGGTCGCTTGCCAATGTTCAGAAAGAAAAGCAAAGATATCTCCATAGTTTGTTGATAAAGGATTGATACCTTTGAGATTTGTTTTCGCCATACTGTCAATGCAATGTTACTCTAAAATCTAATTTCTACGAAATTTTACAAAAAATTATATATTTCAGCCATTTTGTTTTGAAGCGGCCCCTGAGCACATGTTGCATAGTTGCAGCTGTTCTATCCGCCATCTTGCAGAAAACTTTATTTGTAGATTTAGTTGAACTTTCTGCAACTAGGAAAAGAACATGGATACACTACATCTTGCACAGAGCCTTGAAATTTATGATTATGAATAGTAGTAGGCATCATATTTTGTGTTCTGTGTACACCTCATGGATGTTTTCGTTTACGCTAAAATGGGAATTCTAATCTTCGATTGTGCTCGTTCCATGACGGACTTCAGACGAGTATTTCGGTAGAAATTTTGCTGTTTTACAGTTTTTGAAGCTTGCAAATTGACGTAGAATTAATGAAAACCAGCGTTAGCAATTATCTGTTTTTTTTCATATTTTCTTATGAATAAAAAACTAACTACAACAAAGTACACCCTCTCTGTTCATGTAAAACTAACTACAACAAAATACAACAAAGTACATCCTCTCTGTCCATGTAAAACTAACTAAAACAAAGTACAACAAAGTACATCCTCTCTGTTCATGTAAAACATAACTACAACAAAGTACATTTTGTCTGTTTCAGAAACTTTGCTGTCATAGTTTTAACTCTTTTAAAAATCCGTTAAAAATAGCGTAAACGGTTTTATATACTTTAATATCAAAACTACATAGCCCTAAAATAAAAATGTTTAAAGCAAATTTGAAAATCTTCATGTTTTGGGTGAACATGGGTTTTTTAGGCAAGGCTCACTGAATTTTGATGCAGGAACACTAATTTACTGTGGTTCAGGCTACACACCTTCTGTTAGAGTAAAGATTTAGAATAAAGTTCTAAAAGCAAACCATGATAATCATTATTTTCATTGGTTAGTTTAGTACCCAGCCTGGTTTATAGAATTAAAGTTTGATAGGATGGATATTATATTTATGGGCACAGCTGTAGTGTTAGAAAATTTATCCCTTCTGTGGCCGAATTTAAAGAATTTGAGCGGCGGTTTAAATTTAAGCCGCGGCTTAAATATGGTTGGTTCCACTTAAAATGGTATCAAATGTTTTAAGATTTAAGCCGGCGCTTAATTTAAACCGGGTTTTGGCAGATTTAAACCGCGGCTCAAATTCTTTAAATTCCATCTCTGATTATATTAGGGGTAAATTTACTTAAACACAACAGTTTTAGTCCATTTCTCACCCCTACACTAGCACAACTGGTGCAAACCCTCTCCCTCCTAACTCAAAATTTGCAAACGTAGTTGGAAGTCAATTTACCCCTTTTCCCCCATCCTGCTTTATTTCTAAACAAAAAACACAAGAAGGACTACTGGAAGGAAAATTTCACCCCCAGAATAACCCCCCCCCCCACCCCGGCCCCTTTTCAGGAAAATATAGCACATGCATCAATTGTTCTGTTGATAAAACAGAAAAACCTGTAGTTAACGCGGTCAGCACTGGGGTTAAAAGGGAAACGGTCACGGTCAAATTGTGAAAAGATTCAAATCTAGAGAACAATGAAATTCTCAAACAAGTTCCAGAAAGTAGTTAAAAATTTGTTTACAATGTTGAATGACTACCAAGATGTTTATACCAACAAAAATTGTCATGTGGGCAAAACATCATGGGTTACTTTCAAGATTGAGCTCTTGCCCGATTCGAGAATGACCATTAGCCTCTCCCTCTCTCCGCGAAAATAAAAAAATAAACTCGGTGCTGAATTCATGATGAAGTCACCCTGGTCATCACCTTCAGTACCAGAGACGAAGAAGTCAGGAGCGGTCAGATGGTGTGTTTGGCTTTCACCAGGACAAAAAAGTAATGGTCAAGGACAATATCAGGTTTGCTCCTGTTGTAATTTTTTAATTAGCATTTTGCATTTTTAATAGACATAATTGATAATATTATTACATATAGTCCTTATAGTCCGTATTACGTCATCAGAACTTCATCCAATGGCAGTGTACTATAATTGTCACGTGATACAGACGGATATCACGTGACCAGTATACTGCAATAAATGAAATAATACTATCAATTATATCTATTAAAAATGCAAAATAAAAATTTTAAAATCATGAAAGGAGCAAACCTGAGAATCAAACGCTCCTGTGGGATATAATTGTTTTTAGATTGGTTGCGTATTTGCTGAATATGATCTGTTTAAACCTACTATTTTTATACAAATTATATATGTATGAATTTTTGTATAATTTTGACAAAGTTCAATTTCTACATCAGATAGATGTATTATATGTATCGTTCAACGCCTGAGATTCTCAGGTTTCATCCTATAACCCCTTTTATTATACAGGGCACAAGGTATAGGGTGCAGGGTGCAAATAATTCAATAATTTATTGTTCAATTTTTCTTCATTGCATTCCCACGGCCTTCCCTTGCACCTCTGGGTAAGTATGAATGGGGGTAAGAAGGGGACAAGGGATGAGGAGACAATTACAGAGATGGTTTCTAATCTTTTATCCGTGTTTAAACATCTCTTTGAAGTTCCCCTCTTAAAAGATGAACAGAGTTCCAATTAAGCTTCATGGTTAGATTAAACTTTAAACTTATCTTCTGGTCAGAGTCAAACATAACCTCAGAGGATTAAGAAACTCAAATTTTAAAAGAAAGAGTGGGAGGACTTTGATAAGAATGAATTAATTCATTGCCACAAACTCTTATTTTCTAATTACAATATCTTTGCAACCCAGTAGAGTAGACCTGAGATTTTTAAGTTATGAATTCTATTTTACTCTAAATTTGTGAATATCTAAGGTTAACACCATCAGGTTTCAAAATATAGAGATTAGAAAGTTTGAGTTTATGGCAAAGACTGACCTTCTTTCAAGGAGTTTGTCGATTTTATTCTGTTAATACGAAGCCGAATATGAACATTTGCACGTAAATATTCAAATTTTACCAAATAAACATTCTTTAATAAAAAACTGGTTTTTAGGATGCAACTATTTACATGAAATCCTGCTAAAATTAACTTCATGCATTTCCATGTAAAACCAGCTCTTTAATAATGAAAATTTAGATCCAAATAGGATTAAATGATAAACCCTTGGGCAACGCACTTGGGTTTTTTTAATCCCTCCCTTGGTTCTAATTTTTCTGAGAGTATATTTTACATTTAATTCTGAAAACGAGCTTTTAAGCTTCGAAAACTTTATAATCATGGCATTAAAATATATTTAGTGGGATGGAAAGCTATTAACAAGTTTATCAAACCACAAAAAATTGCAAAATAAAATAATTATTGCATCGAAATCTAATTTTCGACTTCTGTCGTCTTCCCATTCATTAGAAAATTTAAAATTTCAAAAATAACAGACCCATGCCCCTACCCGTTCCCCTTCCCATGCCCCTACCCGTTCCCCTACCCATTCACCTTCCCCTCTCCCTATAACATTTTTTTTTTGTAAATAACAGGAATTGAGATTTAAAATATTCATTTGTATATAAGTGACGTTTTTAACAAATTTTTGACAACAAAAGTATGATTTCTAAATTTAGAGAACATTTGAAAGCTAGTAGGATTTTTAAATTTAGAGATACTGTTGACAACCTATTTTTTTTCTAACAAAATATCCAAAATTTCATGAAACTTCTCCTTAATTTCTTCATAAATGTTACCAGGAATTCAATTCTATAATTTTTGCAAAAAATTTCAGAAAATGCTCAGTAAATGTTTAACAAAAAATGTAAACATGTTCGCCAAAATTTTACGTAATTAGACATTCGAATATTTTTCGCTTATTTTTGGAAAATTTTGCCAAAAAAACGAAATATTTAAAAATCTTGATTTTGTGTATTATACGAAAAGTTGGGGGTATTTAGGAACCGTTGGTGAAATACGTATTTTGGTTAATAGGGCATGGGGTGGGGGGCGACCTCTGCGGAAAGGATAGGCTAGGGGGGGCCAAGAGTTGCGACTAGGTTAAACTAGAAGACCTAGCTCTGCGGCTAGAATAGGGTAGGGATCCCTACGATGTGGCCGAGCACTCCGAAAAAAGCTAAGAGTTTACTTAGACACTTTCCACTAAACCCCACTATTTCTTTGGTCAATGGACTACAAATCACCTCAGAAAACATTGGAACCTTAGTTTAGGGTGCCAAAGGAGTGTGTCTTTCTAAAATATGTGTGTTCAGAGTTCAGTCTTTTAGGATTTTAACATGGCCAAGGTTGTATAGTAACT